TTGGGTCTTATCGGCGAAATTCTGGGCCTTTTATAGGACAAAAAACTGCGCACGGACCAGCGAAAATTTTCCTCCGAATTGTACTTGGTGTACGGTGAACCGAAAATTTTCACTGATGACTAACGCCAATTCCCGGTACTAACGGCTTTTGAAAATTTTCCTGCTGACTGATGGGCCAAATTCCCGATGCTGACGGCTTTTAAAAATTTTCTTTGGTGACTAACCAACTCCCGGTATTAATGGCTTTCGAGGGCTCAAGCCTAAGAGGGGGATACTGTCAAGTCCATGCCGCGGGCCTCCATTCCGCCGCTCGGTATTCCAAAGATCTGCTCTTATTGTAGTCTGACTCTTATTGTTCTTTCTCGCTACACATACCCTTTCGTTCTAGTCTCTCACTATTGTCTTTTACCCTTTCGTTCTAGTCTCTCCTTATTGTCTTTTACTTTACCCTGCAGGTACTACTCGTATAGCTCCTAGTAGTTAGTCTGGCGCTCCGCACCGCTGCGCCGTTCCGTAGATATAAATACTGCCTGTACGCTACTGTAGTTCCTCAGTTTAATTATCAACTTAGATCAACTTAGATCTCCCTTCTCAACTTAGCTCCTCTCTAAGTCTTCAGGCTCAACGCCTTGAAGTACTCTCTCTACAGCCTTTGGACTTATAAGTTCTTTGGCCCGCTCCTCGTCACCGGCGATACCGCCGCTCCGACTTGGCTGCTTCTCAGTTCCTCCCTTCTCTACTCTCGATCTCCGGGGACTAACGGCGTAACGGCGGTGTTGTTAATAACTTCACTACTGTCCCACTCGTCTTCCGCACTTAGACACCCTGTGGCTCTGGCACGGTTACACGGTGTACATGATCTTAACATCCCCACACCTCTATTCAGTCCAACACCATGCCTTGAGGAGTGGGAAGTTCGCAACAGGCTTGTTGCTGAAGCCATTGTATCAAACGTAATAGACCCAGTCAGTCTAGGAATAGATGAAACCAAATGGGCATTGGACATCTGGGCAGCACTGATCAAACAATTTGAGAAAAGAGATGAGCAGCGAATACATCTTGCGGACACCAGCCTATGACAAGAAAAGTACGGCCCATCTGAAGACACTATGGAGGACCATGAAAAATGAATGTGGAACCTCCTCAAGAAGGTCTATGACCTGGGGGGAGTTTCTACGGATGCACAGTTCCATTGTATTGTTATATCATTGATGCCCCCCGAGTGGAGGCAAGATGTACGCAGCATGCCAGGGACCTCAAGCGCAGATGCGTTTACCTATCTCCATACCCTCTGGTACAAAAAGGAGGAGGAGTGGAGGGAGGCAGAGTGAGACACAAAGCGAGTGAAGGCTCTGATAGCATCACACTCCCTCATCCCAAACCCAAACCAAGGCAACCAGAACTGGAGGAGTAACAAAACCACCATTTGCCACAACTGTAGCAAACCAGGCCATATTGCTTGAAAGTGCTGGGCAAAGGGGGGAGGTATGGAAGGATAATGGCCAAAGCAAGGCCAAACAAACAAGCCAAAGATAAGCGCGAACATGTTGAGCACAGAAGACACTGAAATTGCATCACCCATGGCAACATACATGATGTCAGTAAAGGCAAGAGATATGCCAAGTAGGTCTAAATCTGCCCAACAACCCGATCCCACAGCTGACCCCGCAACTAGACAGGACTATCGCATTCTAGGGAAGAGGGGTTAGCAGGAGAAACCGGGTGAGGGTGTAGATACAGACCTACTTAGCAATGTAACCATAGACAAGAACTGTATTGCATGCCAAGGCAATACAGATACATCCCTATACTCAACACCTATACCCATCATATGAACATTCCTTGACTCAGGCGCATCCGAACATTGCTGTATTGTACTATAGTTCCTCAGTTTGATTATCATCTTAGATCACCTTAGATCATCACTCTCTCTTCCTCTGAAGTTTTCAGGATCCTTCCCTTGAGTACTCCCTACTCTGACCTCAGGACTTATATGTTCTTTGGTTTGCTCCTGGCTGTCTCTTCTCTACTCTCAATCTCCAGAGACTAGCAGCATAACAGTGGTGTTGTTAATAACTTCACTACTGTCCCACTCGACCTTCCACCCTTAGACACTGAATGGCCCTTGGCACAGCTTTCCAGTGTACATGATCTTAACACAGTCAAGGACAAGATATTGTACCTTCTTGAGCATATATCCAGTTTACCCCTCCATATTGTCATAATGCTAACCTGTGTACCTTGTTGCTCCTCTAACTGTTACTGCAATTCACCAAGGTACATGTCCGGTGTGTGTGCAAGTAACCCATGAATGAGCTGGTTCTTCCGTTAGTATTGCATCTATACACACACCTTGTAATGTAGATATAATTGATAATCAACTGGCAATACCAGTTTTTTAGGTTTTTTGATTTCACTGGCTATAGTAAGTGGTTGTAAAATCAAATTTTAGTGGCAACGACTGTGAGACTACAGTAACTAACACACTGCAATGTGAAGGCGCTGTCATGCCCTGACCGCAACCAGACCAACCCCAGCATCAGCCCACACGTTCTCACATTCCCGACTCTCTTTGCACCTCCCCAAGACATCCCTGAGGCAGTACGCACCTCCCCAAGACAGTACCACCACCCCCTGAAAACGTCCGGACAATCATCCCGACACGCGTACGAAACCCTCCAACACCAGCCCCATTAAGTACCAATCTCGATCACCTGCCTCTCTCGATTATCTGCCTCATGCTCCCTAGGTTCTGATGTTCCCTTGTTCACTTCCTGTACCTATTTAAGTAGCTCCGCAAGGTCCCCAAGCAGCAGCTTGGTATATTTTGAACACACACCCTTTTGCATAAGTCCAGTCCCTGTCCCTTTATACCTGCTAACCATACGGATTTCTCTTTACCCTCTGTTTCTCTACCTCTGTTTCTCTTTACTCTCGTCTACTGTCTCTCTGATTGTCTGTACGATCAAATATATGCTTTTACTTCAAGTCTAAGCCATCCGAGTGAGTCTCTGAGCTCCCTCGAACATTACTAAAGCTCCCCAATGCCTAAACACTTTGGTGAGCTACCCTTCCCCAGACCTCCCAGAGCTCCCTAGCCACTTCGTAAGCTTCGGGACCTCGATCTAAGTAACGTCGAAGCTACCCCTCACGTCAAACTACATATCGCTTCTCCGTTACCACCTCCAACACTCGAGGACGTCCTTCCTCAAGCCCAGTCCCCGGGAACCTACCTTCCCGGGCGTATACCTTCTCGGGAGCTTACCACCTCGAGACCCATTTCCATCTACGACCTATTCGAACCCTATATTGACGTTCTAGCGAGTACAACTCCTACTACGCGATATTACAAGGTTCCACACTTCTACCTAACCTCCCCCTACGCCTTAGGGACCTCCCTGGACCTCCTAAGAACCCCCTCAAGGGTCACCATCTCTTCGCCCCAGCCACTACTAGGTCATTCCTGTCCTTGGTCGCGGTTCCCGTAGCTCCCTTCGAGCTCCAGCCTGCTCCTAGCATGCTACAACATAAACCTTCATATACCAAACCCTACCCTAAGACCTATTCTGACCCAGGTCTTACAGGCGCGCTCCGGTTGGGGCTAGCATAGCTAGCCCCAACATAACGGAGTGGGTCTGAACATTGCCACACAATCAGCACACTTCGTTAGGGGTTAGGTGCGCCGCAGGCGCTTGCAGATATTTAAAGCATCAAATGAAGCTTTAGAGTGCCTGCCAACGACTCCCCGGTTCGGGGGACCCCCTGAGCGTAGCGAGGGAGGGGAGGGGAGCGGAGTGCAGGCCTGATATTTGATGCACAGAGTAGGATAATTACCAATAATGAGGCAGGTTTCTTGTGTGCATATGGTGCAAGTGGTTCCAGCATTAGCATTGTCATTGTCCTCTCTACCTAGAGTTCTTGGGTTCAATTCCTGCTGGGGTTGTTCATTCTTTTTGACATTATTGATTGCCATTATCTCGTAATATTCTTCTAAATCGGGACACATCATGTAATACTGTTCCGAATATGGACGTATCTTGTGTCCAATGACCCTGTCAGTGGATGACTTCCCGTAGGAATTATTTGCAGGACACCAGACAATTAATTTGTGCCACCAATATAAGCGAACCTAAGCGAAGATGGCCGGACAGCGGCTTCGCAAAAACTGCATCAAAACCAACTTATAACGGCCTCCCTACCCTGTTGTAAACTGGTTTTTGGTGTAAGCGAGGGTCCCATCAACAGTCCGTACGTCGCATCAAATACCGTTAATAGTTAACTGCAGGTTAACTGCAGAATAATTGCAGCGGGAAGTCACCCAGTGATTATTTACAATATAACCACTGACTATAGCCAGTGAAATCAAAAAACCTTAAAAACTGGCAGTGCCAGTGTATTATTTACAATATCTGTGTTATGGGCTCGATTTTGTGACAATCTCATCAAGAGACACACAATTGCAACCAAGGTTGATGATTGTGTGGCAAAGGTCTTCAGATAGAGGCTTTCCGTGAGCCATACCTGCAATGAGATGGGGTGTAATGTCAAGAAGGCAGCGCAGCACAAAGGATTGGACAAGCAGCAACAAATAGCTTCAAATTGATTTTGCTCTACTGCATACTACAACAATGGGGCATTCTGAGGATACCTTACAGCTTGTCAATGCACGAAAAATTACAGTAATTGGTGGAGAAACGAGCAAGATATTTGTGTTTTTGTTTAGCACCATTTTATAGCTGAGATTTGTAAAATTTTGTATTCTTGAAAGAATAACTATGGGGCGTTCTGAAGGTATACTACAGATTGTCAACACACTAAATTTTACAGTAATTGGTAGAGAAATGAGTGAGATATCAATGTTTTTGTTTGGGTTCATTTTGAAGCAAAAAAGTAAAGCGTGTGACCGAGGCGCCAACTTTTGTGAAAACAGCAATAAGGAACACACACCCCGGCTGGGAGGTGTTGGTCCGTCACCTGTGACTGCTCCCCCAGCGATAGCTTCACTCCCCTCTTCCAAGATGACCAACGTGTACAACTCCATCAGGGCGCATCCCCCACGAGAAACTGAATGCGGCTTCAGTACTAGCCAGGTTCCAGATGGAGCCACTAGGGAACACGATTTGCTGTTCGGGGTCATCGATGATTTCAGGAAAGTTCGCGACGCTGTGGAAGTAATTGGCCAAGCGATGTGAAACCTGCGCAGGTACACTAACTCCCTCGTGGTAACGATCAATAGGCCAACTGAAATGAACATAGACCAATATACGGTGACGAGGATCCTGCGGGTGGTTTGTTTCACCGCTCGGGACATTAGTATTTGATGCTGCTGTAGAGCTTCGCACATTCAACTCGAAACTCCTCTTAGACACCTGGGTTAAGACGATATCCAAGGGATGTTAAAGGTTTGGCTAATACATGACTGAAAGGATGAGAGAGACCCACATCGAGAGGAGCTGCCTGCACAATGACGAAAAGGCCCACAATGAGGCTTAGACACAGGGAGAAAAAGTGCATGGTGGATACAGGGAAGGATGAGGATGAAAGAATAAAGCCTTAGAAGCCAACGATGAAGATATTTTTTGGTTAGAGCGTAGATTTAGAGTGAACACTGGCCAGCAGTTTCTGGGGGGCAACTTGCTCTCCGACCACGATTTTATACCTATGCTCAGGCCTTCGCTTAGGAGGGCCCGATCCATGAAGCAACGAAGGCTATGAAACAGCGACGCTGGCATCGGAAAAGGATATTATCGTTCAAATTGGTTCCGACGCAAGAGTTGATCGACCCCGACCTACCCCGACCCAGCGCCGGGACAGACCAGGACCCGCTGGGACCCGACGCGGACGCTTCATCACATATCATCCCCTATCATCCCTATCTATCCCTTAATTTCTAGGGTTGTAGGTTGGGCCGATTATTACACATAAAACCTATCTTCCCTTTACGTGTTGCGTTCGGCTTGCTTTAGACCGGTACCCACCCAAGAAGCCCTTCAAGTTTCAAGGTCCAGCTGAGCGTAGCAGTCTACGCACAAACGTAGCGAAATACTATTTGAACATCTCATCAATGCAATTTGACTACGCACGTCAGACTAAGGATTCCGAAAACTGATGGACTTCTCGCCGCCCTCAACCTGATCTTCCAATTTGCTCCCAATTCTCTTTTGTTCGGGAAGGTGAGCCCGAGTCCACTTAAACGTGTGGCCTTCGGCCCACCAGTAGAAATCGAATGCTTCAAAATCGTTGTCATAGGACCAAACTTTGGCACCGTGATCAAATGTGAGTGTGTACTCGACGGCAGGAAGGGGAGGTTTCATCGTGCGGAAGTAATCTTTCAAGCGGTCTGCTACTCCTTGTGGTACTGATTTGGTTTCTGGACCATGTTGTTTTGACCAATCGAACATGATATGGATTTGCGAGTACGCAGGACCATTGTGAGAGCCGGGGTGTAACTCCTCCTGCACCTCCGTCGAAAGATCTCCACGGGTCTCAAAGCTCACATCGCTGGTAGTGAGCTATTTTGTGATATCAAAAGTTTGTCAATGACCACGTCTGGTGATATCGAGGACTCACATCGAAGGGTGCCGCGCGCACAACAGCGAGGAGCCCAATGAGAAGGTATGCAAGACTGGAGCGCATCTTCTATCGAATTGTGGTTGGGGATTGTAAAAATGGTGAGGAGAGGCGAACACGGAGAATTCTCACTGAGAAAGCGTTGAACGTTGAAGACGAAGTGAAGGAAACTGGCCAGCAGGTTCCGGAAAATTTACCTCCTGCGGCTCATCTTTTAAAGCTCTTAGATTTTACGCGCAGATAGAATGGAGCACAGGTCTTTTTCTCGACCCTGACTTTTCGCAGCCGGAGAAAAACAGACGATCCTGGATAACCCAGGGATAACCTAGGATAACATGATAGCATGCATTGTTGGATTGAGCTCAAGAACGCATGGAACGCGTTTGAACCTGTCACATATGTACTGTAGTATACATGCCGCTGCGTTTTTTGTGCTGATCTGCCGTGGTCAATTCTCACGCTCTTCATTGCTTTCTCCCATGGACTCGGACACTGCACTGATTGTAGGGGGTGGAGCTGTTGCAGCTTTACTAGCTGCTCGAATTCTTCTTCGTAGAGGTGGTAAAGGCGCCGCAGAGCAATGGGCCAAAGGTGGATTCAAAGCCAAGATGGATAGGACGGAAGCGCTTTCAGTGTTGGGTTTGAAGTGAGTGGATTTGTTGTGACATATCCGAGTGATATATTCCCTTGGCGACTAATTTCCATGCACCACAGAGAGGGGCCAAAATTACGCTCTCAGCTCAAAGATGCACACCGACAAATAATGCTTGCCAATCATCCCGACAGAGGTGGCTCGCCGTATATTGCAAGCAAGATAAATGAGGCTAAGGATTTTCTGGACAAGCAGGATAAGAAGCGCTAGTTACGGTCTATCTATGGGCATGTTTTGTCCTCATTTATCCCCACCCCATTCAATGAACAAGTAATGATATTCACACCACACGAAATGCATGAATGCATATGTTCTTCGAAGTTGACCGTTGAAGCCGAGGATTGGGCACTGGAAAAGTTGATGGTTCGGTTCTCTATGAAAGGATGAGCAGGGGAGACTTCTTCATGAACCCAGGAAATACACCCGTATAAGTATGGTATCTAACCAATATAATAATAATTCTAAAGTAAAGTATATAGGTAAATCATGAGCACAGAGAGTCGTCTAAAATAGATGTGTAAGTAAATATCAACGGAAGTTCCAATACTTTTGTGCTTGTATAACATCGACGGGGTCACGGAAGCGGTTGGAGAGGGCGGTGGAAGTTCATGATCACATCAGGGTCATGTCATGAATCATGACAAAAGGGCCACAATAGCGGCGGATAGGATCGTACGTAGAGGTAAAACGAGTGGAAGTACGTTGACCTCTTTTGTAACCAACGAAGAATGAAGCCATAGTCGTGCGGTTTATACGTAGCGACCAAAGAGAGGGATCAAGGACTGAGCCAGGGTGTAACTAAATACAAGCTTGGGTCCGACGACAATGATCTAGGAAGAAGCGAGATGAGCGCACGTCACAATGATCACCAAAAACTATTATCATACCTTGGGAGTTAACCCCTTAAAGAATGCGGTGACGCCCTCGTTCTTGATCAGATCCTTGATAACTACAGCACCATTGACTTTGTTTTCAAAGTTGGCGTTCTGGATACGCGTCTTGACAGTATCTAAAGGTGCAGCGACAGTTATGGAAGCGACAGCACCAGCGATAGAGGCGATGAAGTTCTGTGTCCAGGTCGCTTTCGAGTAATCCGTTACTCCTAGAACATAATCTTTTGTTGCAGCGGATGCACCGAAAAGCTGACGGAGGGAACATTTTGATGTGGTTAACGAGATGTGGAAACAAATGGATCGGACGACGTACTGCAAAACTTCCTGGAGCGTTCCGTGCCATTGTCCATCCCCAACCGCGATATAGAGCTGACTTTTCTTCAGCAATGATCCGGATGATACCTCGGCCTCGGAAAGCTTCCGGGTTTACTTGACGCTTGATTTTGAGGACGTCCAGAGGCAATAGGACCTATCAATTGCCCAAGGCAGAGCAAGATAAAGATTCACCTGACAAAGGCGCGAAAGACACGCACAACTTCACCAATACCGGTCAAACTACGGTATGAGAGGGAATTACGCCAATGAGTATTGAAGATAGATTTAGGGCCCAAACGTGCATGACAATACACATACCTTCCAGCTGCAGCCTGCATCATGAGCTTCCCTTTTCGCTCCCCAAAAGCACCCGTGAACTGGTCCCTGAAGTGTTGGTTGATCAAGTCGTTGAAGTATGGCTGACCGCCAAATTTGTATACACGTTGGGCGACCTTGTATCCTGCGGCGTATCCGAGACCAGGAAATAATGAGAAGAATTTCTTTCCAACAGATGCCGTTGCGAAGTCCCGGAAGAGGATAGGATTCAGCGTTGCTAGAGACACCTTGAATGGAGTGTCAGCATGAATAGCTGCCGTTTTACTAAGGCTTCACCTTGGCCTTGTTACTCATCAGCCTCTTGGCGACGGTGTCAACAGGGTGAAAAATTAACAGCTCAGCGATACCTAGACGTAGTCTCAAAGGTCAGAGAGAATACGAACATGGACTGAGTTGTACCGCGACCAACCAGAAGTACCAGACCCAAGAACACGGGCAGTACCAGAATCTTTGCCTTTGCCTGTTGGTGGGGACATGGTAGTGGTATGAGAGAGAAGTGTAAAGGTGTAGATGGAACGTCTGGAATGCTATTGGGTATAGCTATGGCCTGCGACACCGCGTCCGGAGAGTAACGAGCTAAAATTTTTCCACATTGATAAAACTGCGGTGACAGCGGCCCGAGACTTAGACATCAGATAAGATATGATGTCAATTGATAAGATAATTCTAGCTTTCGCAAATCTCTCTCTCTCTCTCTCTATCTGCCCTATTTTCGTTCCCCTGCCTGCCTTAGTCGTATCTCTGCCAGGAACGCACTTTGCGCCAGAGCGTTGGCTGCAATTGAGAGCCTTGAGTCGAGGCTCGCAACGTCTCCGAGTCCGTAAGATTCTTTCTTTCTTCGAGGGTGTTTCTTCTCATATCCTTTATTTATCTTCACCCCATATGAAGCTCACAAGCTCAAAGCCTACTAAGCTTAGCAAGGCACCACCGATGAACCTAACTAAGCTTACGCGTCGAGGGTCAATCTGTCATGTCCAACATTCGCCATCATTTCGCCGTTCAGTTGCTTCCTTCTGGAGCCAATGAGGGTTGATTTTGTCAAGTTATACGTGTCTGTTACAATGAGTAAAGGTACGAGGATTTATAAAACGAGATACAATACAACTCAAAATTCTGATTTAGGAACCAACTTCAAAAGGTGACAGCTCTCAACCTCCAGTCATCGAATCAGCGTCGAATTTTGCTATCCAACATGGGTTGAATAGTTCCTCGGAGCATATCGGTACCTATGACCACTCAAGAGATGCTGTATATAAGAAGGTACATGCGTATCCCGAACCTTCAGAATTAAATGTCTTTTCTAGTGTACCTTTGACTGACGCGTGCCTTTCGCAGGAGTACAAGTTTGCATCCTTACTCGGACCCAATATGGTCAGTATAAAAAATGCTCGATGCTCTGCTATGGTCGCCCCGTCTTTGCTCTAAAACTGAAGTCGTTCACTCAAAAATGAAACTTCACAACCTCAAAATCGTCCTCACTTTCATTTCTACGGTATTTTCATGCAACAATCTCATCGATTGTTTCTCTGTCTTACGCAGATTTCTCGTAGCTCATTAACCTCGTACCAACATCTATGTCGGAGAATCTCGAAGATCTGGATGCTAGCGCGCTTGTTATCCGTCAGTCATCTCCAACCCCAGTAAACAAAATTGGAGATTGGTCATTAGTCGGTTGTTTTACGTGAGTGCCACGGTGCGGTGTCTCAGAGGATATCCATAATCAGCTTCTTTCTATAGTGATATATCGACCGCTCGAACACTTTCTGCGGCCTCGCTTCCGGCCAGTGATAACCTGACACTCGAGACTTGTGTCGCGTTCTGTAATTCTGTCGACTATATTTTCGCCGGAGTCGAGTTCGCTCAGTGAGTATTACGCAATCCCAATCCATTGCAGACCTTGATCTTGATCTTTGAATTTTGCAGAGAATGTTGTACGCATTGCTCTACCTCTAAACATCTACTGGTGATCGCGAATCCTTTTCCCCTTCAGACTGCGATTCCACGATCCAGATACCCAGCGTACCCTCTAACCTGACAGCCTGTGACTTTTCCTGCTCTGGGAATTCGTCTGAGTTATGCGGAGGATCAGATAATATTCTCATCTACACGAATGGTCAACCGGCACCTGTGATCGTCCAGGACGTAGGGCAATGGTCTTACGAGGGGTGCTTTACGTGCGTTCAACGGCTGCTCCATATCAAGATCCATACTTACTAGATGCAAATTCTACAGGGATAGCGTTGCGATGCGTGATTTGGATGTCGGACTCGACGTTCCAGCCGGAGTTACAGCCGCATCTTGCACCGCTGCGTGTCAAACAGAGAATTTCGTCTTTGCGGGCCTCGAAAATGGCCAGGAATGTTGTTCGTGTCTCATTTGTCAAACCCATTTTTGCTTTGCTGTTACTAACACGCATACATATGAGTTAGGGTGCGGCAGTACGCTGGGTAACACTAGTATCCACGTCGGTGACGACGACTGTCGTGCCGTCTGCACCTCTGATCATTCAGAGTACTGCGGGGCCGCCAATAGACTTGCAGTTTACCAGTTCACTGCGTCGGGAACACCACCACCACCAACAACATGCGCATCGGAGAATATCTCCAACTTCACCTTACTCGCCAACTTCAAGAACCCTCCAGAGGATGGATCGTCCGGCGAGGTGCCATTGAAGATCGTGTTGGTGGAGATGGTTCCGAGTGTGACGTGGGCGATTCTTTCGGTGAGTAACTGGAATATTCTTCTTGTGATTGACCCCTTCTCTGATTGCTTCTGCGAAGGCTTGTGAACTTTGTTGCTCGGATTGGCCTACATACTCGCTCCAAAATTCCATCTTTTTGCCTCACTCACTATCGAACCCTGGGCAGTTGATGGTATCGAGTGCCCCAGGACCTGGAGAGTCACCAAATTTTGTTGCTTCTGATCCTGCGTTCCCTGGATTCCAATCCTACTGTGCAACGGTAAGATTCTTCGTCCTTGTTCCTCTTTCCTTCGGGCCCTCCAATAACAACTGTCTCTCATGCAGGACTCCACCTCAAACAACAGTCTACCCCTTCTTGCATTTGGAGACATATCGGACGCTTTCGCACTTTGCACGAATACGTCTGTGAATGCTAATGGGCGATTGGACGTGGTCTTTGAGCCTGTGTCAAATCATCTGCATTATGTTTTGGATGACTGCATTCCAATTACTATTGAAATAATAGGGAGCGACTGATACTTGAACTTGTAGTATGACTGATGATACCCATGTGTATGTAATAGCCTGCTGTGCCTTCCTATGCTATCCTATGCTATCCTAGATTTTTTGTTCCCGCTGCCATTTCTTCGGTTTCCATTCATATATAAGCAAAAGTTATGCCTTGTTCTAAAAACCGGACAATGGACGTGGGCTCTTCATGGACAGCCAAGATTCATATGGATTGCGAGGGCCGCAGATTTGAATAATGAAGCCATGTCCAAGTCAGTAAGCTCGACTGACAGTGATTGAGTTGGAGACCGAGTCGGAGAAGACGGTCGATGATGGGAGACAAATAAGAGGCCTTAGAGCGATTGTGCGGCTACCGACACATTATATATTCAGGAAGGATGCAAAAATGTTTGCAGCTGCGGAACAAGTGCAAGAAAGAAGCAACGAGTCAGCTTAATCACGTCCGTATAAGGGTCTCGACGTACAAATTCCTCATAATGATGAAGAACCTCTCTCAACTGCTTCCTCGTGATCTCAGCTCGGTACAATATTTCGTCGTCTGTAGTTTTTCCATCGAAGTACTGGTTGGTCCTATGATGATAAGCAAAGGGTCAGTGACAAGAAAGCTGGTTACTGAAACAACAAGTTACTCACAATTCAAATCGTCGTGTAAGAATCTGATCCTTTCCTAGGGACATGGCGTTCAACCAACGACGCTGGAGCGATGTCGCGCGGCCGGGATCTTTGATCATAGATGGTACGTCGACATTATGAGATCCCGTATCTGTCTCCGCATCAACCTCCGTTTCTTCTTCATTCTCATCATCGGCCTCATCATCGTCTTCCCCTTCTTCCTCTATATCTTGCGACATTCTACGACCATCTCCATCTGATGCATCCGGACCCTCATCCCGTCCACATCCCTCGTCCTCATCAGTCTCGTCCAGGATCAGCTCACTCAATTTGCTTTGCCCACTGTGATTACTGTGCACCGAGTCGCTTGACGGTACGCGTGTTGACGTTGAACGTGTTGCCGATACCGCACGAGTGGGCTGGGAATTTTGAGAATGCTTTCGTGCGCTTTTTGGAGACATGGAAAGCCAAGCGAAGGCTTTCTTGTTATCATTATCGTATTGATTCTGTTCCGGTGTGGAGATGGGAGAAGCGCCTATCTCCAAGCCCAAGCCCGACTCCGCGGTCGTGAACGAGGATGAATTCAAGGTTGTTAACGCCGGTGTACTGCGTTTCCGTTCTCGTCCTCTTTCGATTATCCGCTCGTTGTTACTATCACTGTCGGTCTTTTCCTTCCTCTTCTTTTTCCTGTCCAGTCTTTGAACCTTTCTGGCATTCGCATTCCCTTTCTGAGCCTTCACTAACGCCTTGACCTCCGGTGTTGCCACGACACGTATCCTCAAATGCAACACGATAATCAGATCGTGTTTAAGCATCCATGATACGACTTGATGGTAAAGTGGAATCAAGTCTTTTCGGGATTCGAGGACGGAACCGAAGAAGTGGTTGCCACCTGTTTGCTTGGCGGAGGAAGTGGAGATTATTGAGAGGATTTCGGGGAGGGGAAGAGGATGTTGGGGAAAGTCCGACTGCGATGCACGCGATGGGTGAGATGATGATGTGTGCGGGGACAATACTGGCGAGGACGGGGAGTTCGAAGAGCTAAGAAATGCTTTGTCAAAATCAGCAGCCAGTTCTAACAGACTGTAATCAGTGTACAAGGAGAGTCAGACGACAGACAAATAAAAGTTACTTACGGGCGATCGAATTTTGTAGAAAGAGTAAAAACAGTTTTCAGGTTAAGATTAATAATGTCAACTATCTTTGCTTTTCGGTGCAGGACAAGCCACCGAACGGTAGGAAACACTTGTGTTTCGAGGTCCCAGTCCAAAAGACTAGCAAGGTCCGCGAGGCTACGAAGATGATCAGTCAGTAAAGAAAATGTTTACTGAGATACTGGAAGGCTCACGAGAGCGTGACATTGACTGTATCCAGAAACCTCATTAGGCCCTCAACAACTGGCCTGTCTTCCGGAGTTATGTACGGGCTTCGCAAGTTCGCGAATGCCTCTTGGCCTTGTTCACTGTCTATCTCATCCAGCAGCAGTAAACTCTTCCAGGGTGCCAAGGCCGGTAACTGCCAACCGAAGCTCATTTCGGTCCCCCAAAACTCTTCTGCTTCCGAGTAATTTGCGTTCGTGTCGAGATGGGACGTGTCCAGCTCGCTATCTTCTTCGTTGTGAAGTAGGTCGTCTAGATGAGGAGGGAGTTGGAGCTCTAGTGGAAGATCGTGGATGGAGAGATAGGCTACAGAGGAGGATTTGATAGCGTCGTAAAGAGTCTTCATAGCAGATGCGACGGAAGAGATGCCTAAAGCCTGTTCAAAGTACTGAGGATACGGCTCGCCTAAACAAATCTTAGCTGGTTACTCGATGACATCGAGATAGCTCACTTTTGCGTATACAGTCGTCTTTTAATGACCCCAACAAGTCACATTCCTGTTCAACAAAGTTTGACAAAACTTGCTCTTGAAACAACACCGCAGCAACAATAAACCCGATTTGATCATAGAGTATGTCAAAGTATTTAGATAGATTTCCAGACGCAGACGAAGAAGGATCGGGCAGGTCGAGGACCAGAACAAAATTGAACGTGTGGAGCCAAGTACACTTTGTAGAAGGCCCAGCCGAATTCGACATTTCCTGGCCGGAATTTTTCTTGTCCAACGACAGACTCCGATTAGCAGGGCTGGGAGAGCCTGACTCGGCACCACCGCGATCTCGGGAATTGCCTCCTCTAGACGAACTCGTAGTTTTCGCTCTCCCTGAATTGAATCTCCAGACACCATCCCAGTCTGCACAGACCGGGTGGCCGATGAAAGCCAGGTCATCCACAGTCAACTGGAATTTTTGGTGACACATTGACGTGCTTGGACAGAGTATACTGGCGAGAAATTCGGATGCGTATCCGAATACATTCTCGTACTTGTCCTTGTTACGAACTTCCCGGTCTTCTAGTTCATCGATGTCATTTTGTGCAGGGGTAGTCCTTCCCGAGGACGGCGAATGAGTATAAGATAAGGACCTGTCACGGTTAGATGAATTCGTCCTCTCCCATCTATACGAAGGATCGATATCTTCTTGTTGGATATGACTCTGCGAAATCGACTGTGAGGCGGTCAAGTCCATGGGAAGTGCTCGGCGGAGGCGAGGCGGCACAACTGGATCTGGGGGCCAATGGTATACAAGAGTTGAGCCCTTTGCTGAGGAATTAACCAGCAATATAGCCAGCAACGTCTCGGCCATCCTGGACGTGACGAAACGTGATGGTCATTGGACAAATCAGGTGTGACTTGGCGCTTGTTTTCGTTCTGTTATACGCATCACATTCGAATCGGAAAATCATGAATCAACCGTTCGCAATTGCAATTCGCTTCCAATCTCCAAAAATCCCATTTGAAGACGGCCGCCTACGAATATATCCGTGTTTCCGGGAAAATGTTGCTTTGGAATCCTGCTGATTCATGTGGGAAATGAGAATATTCATCATCTTTCGATTTAAGCTCATGAAGCTAGTGCTCCCGCATATTGGCCCTGCATCAACATCTCTTTATCCTTGTTCGGCATTCGAGTCGTACATTGAACGCCATGAGTTTCTGTGAAGATTGTATCAAAGGTGCGTAGCTGCAATCTCAAAAATGGCAAACCTTTTTTAATTCAACTAAGGGGTCAAACATGAAGGAACTCCCGAAGGGAAATGGGAAAATATCAACGGAGTTGAATGCTACGTTGGCACTCCCAGTGGTGAATACCAGAAAGACAAAGTTCTTCTCTACCTCAGCGACATATTCGGACCACAGCTCCCGAATGCTCAGGTACGTCAACTGATTTTCAGTGAACGTCTTTTATACTGATCCGAGTCTATATAGCTTTTGGTGGACGGTTTTGCAAAGAACGGTTTCAAAGTACATCTGTCCTTTATCGATCGCAATCGCCTTCCAACCGACCAATATTACCACAGACAGTGGCCCCCGATTTCTTTGAGAAGGATGGAGTGCCTTTTGATCTATTCGACTCTGAGGTGCGTGAAGATTTGTGCTGCGCTTCATCTGTCCTTTTCCAACATTATCATCTCAATTTTCATAGGAAAAACGACAAGCCTTTGACCTCCAAATCTGGTTTAGTCGCCATGGACCCCACATTACGCGTCCTCTCCTTGACAAAGTCGTTGCCGCGCTCAAGGGACAAGGTGTAACAACGTTCGCTGCGACTGGGTATTGTTATGGAGGTATGCCAACTTCGATCCCCTTCATTGTATTCTATCTCGAACGTTTCAAGGCAGACTTGTCTTCGATTTAGCATTTGAGAATATCACTTCTGCGTCTATTGCGAACCACCCATCGCATTTGAAGTCTCCAGAGGATTTGGAGGTATGTACTTAGTCGGTCTCACCGATCAACTAATCCCTAATCAACTCCCAGAAATACTTCTCCACCTCCCGCGTTCCACTGCTTCTTAATACTTGCACCGTCGACGAACAGTTTCCTCTACCCGCTCAATCCCAAGCCGATGTCATATTCGGTGAAGGTAAATTCACTCCTGGATACAAACGCGAGTATTTCGATGGCTGCACGCATGGATTTGCTGTGAGAGGAGATTTGAGCATTCCTGAGGTGAAAGCGGGGAAGGAAGGAGCATTCAAGGCTGCTGTGGAGTGGCTATATAAGTATGGATTTGTACAGGAGGGAAAGGCATCGAAGTAAGCAACTTGGCTCGTGGAGTGGTTGTATCACTACAGATTTGGGCCAGAGGGTAGGCCAGTTTCCAGCAACATATCCAGCTGTATTATCAAATCTTGTTCAGAACTTGGCTTGTTTCTTCGTGGACCTGACCCCAGCAGAGAAGCCTTTAAACCGATCTTTTGAAACAGGATATCAGGAAGTGGTCAACCATCTGGAAACATGTAAGATTGTTTTGAGTCTTTCAATAAGTTTGATCATGGATACTTCCGAATCTGGATTGTACTTGCTGTAATCATGTATTAGCAGGTGAGAATCCTTCCGGTCAACAAAGCAGAACCGTTGCCGGGAGGGATGTCTCCTCAAGAAAGGTTTGTGGCTTTCCCCCATCACGTTGGTCTGCACATCTGTCAGATGAGAAGGGATTTGGAAGTGAACCATTGCTTCCACCACGAGACGAGATCCAAGATATCTCCACAAGCTGCGTAAGATGGACAACACCGAGCGATTAGGGAGTATTCTGGCGGTCGCTCTGTGGTAACGACTGGAAGTTATGTCCTACATAAGTGAGTGTTATAAAAAGTTGGCTCAGATGTTATCATCATATTCAAAACTGTTCGGTTTGAATGTGCAGTGCTCATCCTGTTGTCTCATCTGTTTTTGACCCGTATGCGTCCGCATTCAAGGACGGTCCACCACTTTGCTCCTTCCAATTCCCATTATCCAATTTTTACCGGGTATATTCGGGAACCTTCTTTGGAATCCTGCTGATTCATGTGGGAAGTGAGAACATGTTTGCATCATGTCATTGTCAAAGAATATTTCTCATCTCGGAATCCATCCAGCAATGCACTATAAAAGGCTTAACAGCCAGGGAAGTATGGGATCTCACGTACACGTACCCATCAACATCTCTTTATCCTTACCTACTTCACATTCAAAGCAACATCATGAGTCTCTGCGAAGATTGTATCAAAGGTGCGTAATCTACGTCCTAAGAATGCCTTATCAATGGCAATCTTCTGAACGCAACCAAGGGGTCAAACACGAAGGAACTCCCGAAGGTAAATGGGAAACGATAGCCGGAATCGAATCCTACGTTGGCACACCCAGTGGTGAATACCAGAAAGACAAAGTTCTTCTCTTCCTCTGCGACGTGTTCGGGCCACAGCTGCCGAATGCTCAGGTACGTTTATCGAGACCTAAACTAGCACCCTGTATACTGATTTGGGTGAATATAGCTTTTGGTGGACGGTTTTGCAAAGAATGGTTTCAAAGTACGTTTCTCTTCTATCAACCATAGTTGCCCTCCCACTGAACAATTTGACAGACGGTGGCCCCCGATCTGTTCGAGAAAGATGGACTTCCTTTTGATGTATTCGACTCCGAGGTGCGCCAATATTTGTGCTCTCCCCTACACTACCGTTTCTGATATTGTCTTCGTAGGAAAAACGACAGGCCTTTGACCTTCCGACCTGGTTTGGTCGCCACGGACCACACGTTGCGCGTCCTCTCCTTGACAAGGTAATTACTGCGCTCAGGGAACAAGGTGTGACGACATTCGCTTCGACGGGGTATTGTTACGGAGGTATGCCCTCACGATACTTTATTCCCACTCCTGGAATAGCAACCAATCTATCCCAAATTTTTGGTAGGGAGGCTTGTCTTTGATTTGGCATTTGAGAATATCACCTCTGCGTCTATCGCGAGCCATCCATCGCTGTTGAAGTCCCCAGATGACTTAGAGGCACGTACACATTTGACTCGATTTTCCCATCCAGAATTTAACACGTTGTTATTACCCCAGAAATACTTCTCTACTTCCCGCGCCCCACTCCTCCTCAATACCTGCACCACCGACGAACAATTCCCTATACCATCCCAATCCCAAGCCGACCTTATATTCGGTGAAGGTAAATTTGCTCCTGGATACAGACGCGAATATTTCGATGGCTGCACGCATGGATTTGCTGTGAGAGGAGATCTGAGCATTCCCCAGGTGAAAGCGGGGAAGGAAGGAGCATTCAAGGCTGCTGTGGAGTGGCTGTATAAGTATGGATTCGGACCAGAGGGGAAGGCATCGAAGTAAGCAAGTTGGCTCCAGTCGCTAAACATTGTATGTAAAATTATTAAATCTTGATCAGTACTTATGGTCCCAATCCTGGTCGTCAATGGACAATGTTATCGAAAATTTAATTCATTATCATTTACGCAGTGCTATATTGACCTCATCATTGTGCAGGATTTTCGACTTTTGACGATAGATATCATTTGTAGAACCGGTAGGCAGATTCATTATCACGACACGATTCATCCTGGCGTTTTCTAACATAGGGGATCCACCGACCAGTTGTCAACATTTTGTCCTTCACAAATTTTTGACCATTCAGATTGAGGACGTCGTAGCTGTGTCATCTCAGCAGGCGAAAATTTGTCCAATCAACTGTACTGAGGCTCAGACTCGTCCGACGAGGGGATATCATCCCTAAACCTCTCAAGCAAAGTTATGTTGGTTTCCCGTTCCAAATCAATGATGTCGATCTGCACTCTCGTCAGACGAGAAGAGACATGGTACCAGAAGTCGAGATTCAAGAACATTAAGGAGTAACTTGGGTTCCAGATGAACATCTCCTTCAAATATTCCGAATTGAAGGCATTCGAGATAAGGTCAAGGGGCCTTTTTGTTCTTGTTGCATTAGTCACACAATATGATTACAAGCCAACATGGTGAGTACAACGATCTGGCAGCGTCATAGAATAGATCATGACAATAACGGTAAGCTATTGATGTCGTGGCTTTCCTCAATTTCCAAGCCTTCAGATTGAAGACGCTGTAGCCGCGTTACTTCAGTCGTATTAAATGTCCCCAACCAACTGTATGGAGGTCCACTGTTCTGAGGCATCTGAGGCAAGAAGGACAACAAACCGGAACCGGGATCGGAATCATCTTCAGAGTCCAATGAGAGAAATTCCTCCAAGGGATTTTTCGAGTCAATCAGAACGATTTGTACTTTTTTGAGAGGAGAAAGAACATGGAAGCGACTCATCTCACGCTCGAAAAGTCGAGATTCGACGATATCGAGAAAAAGCTTAGGTGCCAGATTGACAGGGTCAGCCTTTGTATATATCCCAAATCGTAGACACTCAAGATTGGGCAAAGGCGGATCCTTGTTCTTCTTGCACACAAGCTTTTGCAGAAAATTCTTCGGAATAATTTTCCTTCCTACAATGGTGAAGGAGTGCAGAATGGAGCTGAAGCTGTCGATGATAGAGGAAAGGTCTTTGTTCGTGAGAGATTCGGCCCGGATTATCGATAGGTGAGCTAGAGGACATTGAGAGCGTTGGAGAAGATCAATCAACGTCGGAGCAATAGTCGCGCGAGTAGGGTTATTCGCTCCTGCAAATTTGATACAGAGTTTGGTGAGGGACGGCAAAGTAAGCAGCGACAACATTTTGCTGCGGACCAGTATCTCCTCATAATCACAAAACATGATCAACGTTGTGAGTTTGGCGAAAGTTATTCCGTTCACTAAATCGGTCTCGAAGAAAGGAGTATACAATGTACAAGAGACAAGGTTCGTGAACCTGGCCAGTATATTCCATGTGTCGTTGCCGTGATAACTTAGATTATCGGTGAGGTAGAGTGTCGTGACTTGAGTAGCATCAAATGCAAGAGATGCTAACGTTCCCCAAAAAATCGACCCATTAGACGAGAATATTGACGGTCCCAAGCCGGCATCGACACCTCCGCACCGCCACCTCAGCTCTTGAAGAGCGGAGCCTTCGAATGCAGAGATTCGTTCTCCGTTGGAATCAACGAGGATGTTACAGTCGAGTTCGGTGAGGACAGGAAAAGAATTTCGAGGAAGGTTGATCAACGGAAGAAAGTTTTTGAGAGGTCCTTGGAGTGTTAAGGTGCGAATGCGAGAACAGATGGGAACTAGAGCATCGATAATTCCGGAAGGGATAAGCTTCAGGGACCTGACGTATTTCTTCAATGGGGAAGTGCGAGTGTCAATGTGAATATCGGCAGGAAGACTGCTTCGACTGAGACATTCTGTGATAATTGATCCGTATTCTATAGTTGTATTTGCGCGAATGGTGAGGTATAGATAAGCCCAAATTCGAGGTGTGTTTTCAAGCGCGGTCTGCCTCCATATGCGGCATACATGCATGAGTAGAAGCTGTGCGAGAGGCGTGTCACGGTTCGCTTCCATGTAGGCGCAAAAAATTTCGGATAGAATTTCGGGAGGAAACTGGTGAACGGCGGTGAGGGAGTTACGAAGGTTCACAACGAGATCATGCTGGGCATCATAAGCACGCTTCAATTCTACCTCCAGACGTTCTGCTTCATCCAAACGCTTTTGTAAGACCGTATTGTCGGCGGTAGATGACCCCATCTCAACGCGTCGAATAGCTGAGAAGTCGCTTAAGAGCAAGTTCAGAGGCAAGAAAGTGTTTGAGAGATGTGAGAAGTTGTACCCAATTAAACAAATATTCTCTGGTTGAAGTGGCGATTAACGCGGGTGCCCACGATGAGAGAAAGAGAGAAAGAGAGAAGTCACTGTCCCGGGCCGAGAACTGCCGTAGCTTCTTATATCCCTCCCTTTAATCAAGTCACTGATTTATGTAGGCTAACACTCCGAGTCAATAGCTTTTGGGCACTTTGAATACCGGCTAGACTAATACGTGTAGCGCCTACGCTTCTCATAGCATTGTAGGAAGGTAGAATCCCATACGTGATCAGACAATGATTAACTCTACTGAGTATTTCTACTATAGATTCTTGAATTTGAGTTCTGCTTTGTGTTGTTGCCAGAAATTGAAGCCGAAATGAACAAAACATCAGTCCTTCGAATTCGAAGTGGTAAGTACATACCATCAAGTAAGTGGGGAAGGGCGGGGAAATGATACAGATAGGAGTGAACATGGCTCTTAGAAGAGATAGTAGCAATCAGTCGATGAATGGTGACGGTGCTTCGCTCTACATCTGCAAAACCTGTTTTTTCGGCTAATTCTCTGAGAGCAGCTGAGAGCGCTTCCCAGCAGCCAAAGCACCCAGAGCAGGGTTGAAATTTTGTTCTCGGTGCTTTGGGTGCTGGAGAGCGCTCTCCAGCCAGTACCCTTGCTCTGGCGAACATACAGGTTTTGCAGATGTACTTGTGAGTATGAATCCTTTGAATACGACCGTTACCGGTAACCCATTCACTTGTAAGTTTTCGCCTTGCAATGATACTAGTCAGATGAAGTCTTAACGCTATATCACCTCCATTCGGGAGTGGTAAATACAGGGTGAATACACCCAAGAATAGGCTCAGCCAAGAATACGACAAGAATCAAGTTCCCAACTTTCAAGAGCCTATCAAGGCCTACTCTAGGCCGGCATCGATTTCATAAATCCTCATGGGGAAAGGAATATGGTCGAAAATATAAGTAAATGGAGTTACCGTAAGTTGGTAGCCTGCTGGACGTCGAACTCACATTTTGCTACCTGCTTCCTCCTGCTTCTCTTGTATCAGGTCAGGTTGCATCACTGATCAAGGAAGATATCGAGTAGCTTTTGATAGAAGGTGCTACCTTATTGAGATGAATCTTTGGGGATGACAGATCATGTTGAGGTCAATATATTATGATCACTCGGAGCACTCGGGAGTCGGAGGCCACTAAAAGCCATTCGCTTACAGCGTATTCAAAAAACCTTGTCAGTAGCATAAAAAATGAGAAAAAATAAAATAAAATCGAAAAGGTACCCGACGTTTTAGCCGACCACTTGGCGAGTGGGCTGTCACTCGCGCCTTTCGACAATGTAGTATGATTGCGGTTCTTTTGCTTCTGAGGTAGGACTAATAGATGCTGATGCTGCTGGAGAGTCCAACCATGCTGGGAGGAGCTCCATCCACATTCAACTGACAGCACTGTCCAGCTGGGAAAGTGCTCCCAGCAGTACTGAAAAACTGCTGGGGAGTGCTTTCAGTGCTGGACAGCACTCTCCAGCTAGTACCCTTGCTCTAGCGAACATCCAGGTTCTGCAGATGCTCTTCCACCACAGAAGATCATTGGCGAAAGGCGCGAGTGACAGCCCGCTCGCCAAGTGGTCGGCTAAAACGTCGGGTACCTTTTCGATTTTATTTTATTTTTTCTCATTTTTTACGCTACTGACAAGGTTTTTTGAATACGCTGTAAATAGCTCGTCTAGTAAGTGAAGTTGTGGGGAGATGGAAGGAACTAATTGAATGCTTATCAGAGCGTAACCCCCACATTCGAGGAAGGAACTTGAGAAAAATATCGCTAGAGAGCATCGCGAGACGACCATGAGGATCCAAGAATGATGCGTTGAAGGTGGACTGGTTCAAGCGGGCAAGGAAAAGCCGCGGCGGTACCTAATTTTCAGGAGTCAGGAAAGAAAATCTTCTTTCTATACTTTATTCTACATATGCATCCCTATGTACAATATTCTAGTACATACGTTCATTACCGTTTTGTGGGTCCACTGGCCACAACGGACATAGAAAAACTGTTAGAATATTCTGATACATGTACTGCCCGTTTTTTCATTGATCATTGCCCGTCTTGATGTGATAATTTATTACAGGGGACAATCCGGGAACAGCTCCGAGGACTCGTAGTCATCGGTTCCTATCGTGTGGTACTTGACCTATCCTATCCTTGAAGGTATCTATCAGGGTCGAGGCAAAAATATAGGTCGGTTAGAGGGTAGTTTTCCGGGCTCGACCGAATTGCTTGAAAACATAACCGTATCAAGTGAAGAAATACATAGGTCTTACCAAGTAAGAACATTGGGGCGCAATGGCACCCACACATTGGCAGTCGACCCACAATTGTTATAACATTTGGGGTCGCATCATGGGAAACGATGTGTACAGAACTTCAACCAGCCTTCCCGCCCGCCGATCCATAATATTTTAGAGGGAGATTTAACTCAATCAAGAAGTCATACCTATATATGGTCGATCGCTTCTTTTCATGTCAACCGGATAAAGTAAGAGAGGCCCAGTTATATCTGTTTAGGCTGAGAAAGATAGAAGTGTGAAATCATTTAACTGCGCCTAAGCTGTCACTGTATGGAAACTTCGGAGAAGAATTGAGCGCGTATGTAGACATCTTACCAATAATATCTTTCTACATACGACTCCTTATAATGTCGGGAAAAAGAATCGAAACTTCAGCAACCCTCTTCCATCCCCTCCTCTGATGTCTAAGCGTCTGGCTAATCTCTTCGCTCCACCCTCGAAAGAGGAGATCAATGCTTGTTGGGACCTTTGCCGGCTGAACAACCATATGGGCTGTTGGACAACTTGGATACCAACGGGTTAGTCCATATGTTCTCCTATAGACGTCTAATTGACTAAATGTCCTGTCAGCTTGGGCCCTCGCAATGGTTTATCACGCTCAGCCTGAGATACCAGGAAGTGTAGCGTTACTTTGGGCTGCGAAGTATCTGGTGCTGTGTTCTGGAATAAAGTCGCTCGTAGGTGTCAATTATTTGTTGTATGTACGGCACGTATCCACAAATATTTCTATTCAAGATCATGGCGATCGATGATATTTTAGATCATGGTGAGTCTCGGAATCATCAGAATCAACGACGTCGGAATTGAATCGAAAATTATTGTTTGATCTTCACCAGACATTGACGCTATGGTGTCCCGCACGAAAGGCCGTGCCATTCCTCGAGGCTCGATATCTCTGGAACGTGCGTGGATGTTCTTCGGGATTCAGGTAGTGCTCGGAGTGTATCTTGCCCAAGCCCTTTTGGATCCTGTCTCGTAAGGGCTCTTCATCATCGGGAAACACCGGACGCTGATGCCTTTGTGACATTAGATGCCGTTTTGCTGCTGCCGCTGCACCCTTGTGTTAACATTATCCGATCCTCAAGGCTACATACCCGTACATGAACATATCGCTCCGCTCTCGTTTTACGTTACTTCGCATCTTACTATTTGCTCGCTTACATACCGACACATCTCAGTGCTTTACTACCACTGAGATGTGAGTACACTCATTATAACATTCCTTTTATACTCATTTTATTGACTCTCTTTTAGTATAGTATTAACTATCCTATCTAGGTATATCAGTGCTTTACTACCACTGAGATTATAGTATTAACTATCCTATCTAGCTTCGTTGTCCGTCGTTTGCACCTTCAGTACCCGTCGTGAATCCCTATCCTTGGTCCACTGTGCAAACAGGTTATGGGCCCCGGCAAAATGTCTACAAACATCAAGTTCAAAGTTCCTATCCTGAAAGAAGACCTCAGTAACTGGGTCATCTACAAGCAACGTGTCCAGACTGAAGTCGTGTCACATCGCTTAGGACGACATATGACGGGAACGATTCGACCACCCAGACGTGTCACTGAAATATCCGGAGACTTTTACCTCACCGGAAGTGCGACGCCGTTAACAGACGATGAGTACGAGAAGTGCATGGAAGCTCGAGATGAGTATGAAGCAAAGGAAGCACAGCTCTGCAAAATCCTCTACGAGACCATCCCAATTTCACTATTCCTGCGTATTCGGGAGGAAGTCACTGCCCACGATACCTGGAAACAGCTCTGTTCAGTCATAGAGGATAGACCTCCCATCAGTGCCGACACTCTGCACCACAGAATGATGAGCCTTCGTACCCCTGAAGAAGGAGATATCCGAGAAACACTCACCCAGCTTCAAATGTGGTATGACGAGCTTGCTGGCATGGGACACCGTGTTCCCGACGACTCTTTCATGACATACATTCGCCAATGCTGTGGTATTCCCTATCGCGACCTTTTCAAATCACTTGCAATCACCTCCGAGTTGACTGGAATTCCACTTACGAGTCAGTTCCTGATCAAGAAAGCTCGACAAGCTGCCGATGAGCGGGATGTTGAGAAGGAGGACGATGCAGTGAATTCTGCCCTTTCAGCAGCTAAGGCTGCTAGTCTTGTTCCCAAGGGACCGAACTATCAGAAACGGCAAGGTCGGAAGGATAATACCAAGTCGAAAGAGGATCGATCACACCTTTTCTGCGATAACTGCGAGAAGGTTGGTCATACCAAGCCTAACTGTTGGGCTCCTGGAGGTGGTAGTGAAGGAAAAGGTCCGCATCAGCGGAATCGACAAGGGAAGAAGCAGAAAGGCGCTACAGCGGCAACTGCTCAGTCTTCAAAACAAGATGACGAGAATGAAGAAGAAACGTACGCGTTTGTTATGGATGCTAAGCACAAGGATGATTTTGGTATGCCTGATCTCCAGGCTACGTCAGACTTCAGAGAACGATCGGACGCCCTAGCTGCTGCCAACGTTACTCACAATGGCGAGGTGATTGATACGGGCGCAACGCGCCACTTCTCACCCATCCAATCCAACTTCAAAAATCTCGTTCAAATTGCTCCGTCTCCAGTTACGGCTGCCGACGGTCGATCATTTGTTGTCACAGCACGAGGAGACTACATGACCTCCTTACCTATGGGTCCAGGGAAGAAACCCACTCCAATTGTGTTATCGAACACCTATTATTCCCCATCACTCGCCTTCACTCTCATATCAGTAAGCTGTATGGACAAAGCAGGCTTCTCACTTACTATCGAAGATGGTAACTGCACTATTTTTTCACCTCGACCGAACCGTAAAGCTATCGGATTCATCCCTGTAAACCATGGTTTGTACCGGGTCAGTACTGGATCCAATCCTAGATCCGTTCTCGTTGCTGCTGCTGCCTCCACTCAACGTCTCACCATGTACCAATTCCACTGCATAATGGGACACCCTGGTGAAGACACCCTTCGCCGCATGCTCAAAACGGAAATGGCTACAGGAATCAATGTCGACTTAGGAACCACGGTTGGATTTTGCGAACCTTGTGTGCAAGCGAAAGCTGCGCGAAAACCATTCCCGAAACATAGTGATAATGCCGATGCAAAGGCTTACGGTGATAAAGTTGTCACCGACGTATGGGGTCCTGCCGAAGTTCAATCCCTCAAAGGAGCACGTTATTCAGCTAATTTTGAGGACGTGTATAGCCGCGAGGAGAGAGTAGACTTCCTAAAGTTAAAGTCCGATTTTTTTCAGTCCTATAAGGAATACGAAGCATGGGTTAAGGCTCATCGAGGGGTGAAATTAATCAAAATTCTTGGCTCAGATCCAGGGGGAGAACTTACCAGTAATGCGATGAACAAACACCTCAAATCGCAGGGTACACGTCGTCACCTCACTGTCCACGACTCTCCACAATCTAATGGACTATCCAAAATCACAAATCGGAACCACCTCGAAGGTGCTAGAGCTATGCTGATTCGTGCCGGACTACCTCGATTCCTATGGACCGAAGCAGTCAATCATAAAGTCTATCTTAAGAATCGAACGAGCCACAGCTCACTTCCGGGAAAGATCACACCTCACGAAAGGGCTACGAAACTTAAACCAAACTTGTCCAACCTACGTGAATTTGGAGCATTAGTTTGGGTTAAAGTAAAGGTCCCAAAACTCACGGCACGCGCAGAAAAGGTCCACTTTGTGGGTATTGATGAAGAGGCAAAAGGTTTTCGTGTTTATTGGCCAGGTAAACGACGCGTTAGTGCCGAACGGAATATCTACATGAATCCGGATGAAATCGTGCTGTCAAACCCTCTCGAGATTGAGGGGGAGACCGAAACTACCGAAGTCGAGATTGAACTCGAAATTCCGTACAATCCCTCGAGTCTCCCACAGCCCAAGGATGAAAACGCATTGAAGGATTCCCCGGAACTGCCTGAAAATGATCCTTCAAAGTCCGTATCCACTCAAGACTTACCAGATCACACACCTTTATCTCGTTCACTGTCCCCTCTCACACCACTTCCATCTCCTTCTCCATCTGCACCTTCATCTCCTACACCTGTTGAAGTCTCACTAGAACCTGAAAATACGCGGCCACGTCGTGTTCGTCAGCCTACTGGCTTCTACAACGAGACTCGCATGCGCAAGGCAGCTGGAATTGCTGCTGATGCTACAGCCTTAGCAGCCGAAGATGTCAATAAGAAGACCGAGGAATTTAATCCAGACGGCTGGACAGATTTCGCTCTTGCTGCACCAGAGGATCCACAAACAATACGCAAGGCGTTGAAAGGACCTGAAGCCAGCGAGTGGGCACGTGCGTACACCGATGAACTCGCAAGTCTTGAATATTTCCACACATGGGATTTAGTCGAACGCCCAAACGGTGTTAATGTTGCAAAGAACAAAGTCGTCTTGAAGACCAAACGGAATCATAATGACCTTGTTGTCCTCCATAAAGCCCGTTTAGTCGTTGGCGGCTATTCTCAAATCCACGGCATCGATTTTTATGAAACATTTGCACCTTGTGTCAAATTTGAAACTCTCCGTCTCCTGCTCTCCGTTGGCGCAAGTAAGGATTCGAAAATCGAACAAGCAGATGTCAAGAATGCTTACCTCCAAGCTGATCTCCATGAAGAGCTTTACATGGAGCTCCCACCTCTATATGAGGAATTCCGAACTCTACCTGTCCACCAGAAAGGCAAAGACATCGTCACAAAGTTACGCCGACCTCTATATGGCAGTAAGCAGGGAGGACACGAGTGGTATAAGAAACTTCGTCAGGAAGCTATCAACGAAGGTTTTACTGTCTCTGAATCTGATCCATGTGTTTTCTACAAATACAAAGGTGACAGATATCAGATTTTTGCTGCCGCTACTGATGATTTCACCATGGTTACTGACAATGATGAATCCATGGTGGAACTCAAGGCCTCCCTTGACCGACGTTTTGACATGAAGTTCATGGGACCAATTAGTTGGCTCCTTGGATTTGAAGTTACACGCGACATTGACAAGAAGACCATCACCCTCAGTCAAAAAGCCTACATCGAACGGATTATCAAACGTTTCGGCCAGGAAACTTCTCGTCCCGTCGTCACTCCAATGGAACCTGGAATTGACTTATCCCCCGACTCACCTGCTGTGTCCGACACTCTCTTATCGCCAAGTGAACAAGCCACATATCGTGAAGCCGTAGGTTCCCTCATGTACCCAGCAAAGGTATCTCGACCTGATATAGCATACGCAACGTCGACGGTTGCATGCTACATGCACGAACCTCACACGACTCACTGGACCGCAGTAATCCGTGTGTACAGGTACCTTAATGGGACTACGGATTTCGCTCTGGTTCTTGGCGGAAAAGATTCGCCTTCACTGTTCCTCTTTTCTGATGCTGATTGGGGATCACAAATGAACCGACGCTCAATATCCGGCTACGTTTCGTACGTCGGCGTTGGTCCGATCTCCTGGAGTTCAAAGAAACAACCCATTGTCACCCTTTCGAGTACCGAATCTGAATACGTCGCGCTCACACATGCCGCCAAGGAACTTATTTGGCTTCGACAACTCTTTTCAGAACTCATCCAACCTCTTTCCGAACCAACTACACTCTGCTGTGATAATCAGAGTGCTATCCGACTTTCAAAGGACTCTACTTTCCATGCACGTACTAAACATATTGACATTCATTTCCATTTTATTCGTCAGGTCGTCGAACGGGAACAAGCAAGCATTCGATACGTTCCCACAGACGACATGATTGCGGACATATTCACGAAGTCTCTTGCTCGTATCAAGTTTGTACGTTTCCGTTCTTTACTTAATGTCCTTGATCTTTCCTCTATCAACTAGCCTTTTGGCTCGAGGGGGAGTGTTAACATTATCCGATCCTCAAGGCTACATACCCGTACATGAACATATCGCTCCGCTCTCGTTTTACGTTACTTCGCATCTTACTATTTGCTCGCTTACATACCGACACATCTCAGTGCTTTACTACCACTGAGATGTGAGTACACTCATTATAACATTCCTTTTATACTCATTTTATTGACTCTCTTTTAGTATAGTATTAACTATCCTATCTAGGTATATCAGTGCTTTACTACCACTGAGATTATAGTATTAACTATCCTATCTAGCTTCGTTGTCCGTCGTTTGCACCTTCAGTACCCGTCGTGAATCCCTATCCTTGGTCCACTGTGCAAACACCTTGTTCATCATTTACCCTACATGCAAGGTTACTTCGTGGAATTGATCCTCTACATTAGGTTACTGATGTTGATCTGTAGCGGTGGATGTACTTCGCCCCGGTCGTTCTGGTAAATACAGAACAAACCATATTCCAGTTACCTCATCTAAATCGTCGTGTTCGATAGGGTCTCATGTTCACCGTCGGTGTCTTTATGGGTTGGAGTACGTTGAGCCGCACCAAGGAGATGCCGTACGAAATGCTTATTCCCATTTACATCGGAGGCTGCTTCTGGGTCTGGACATACGAAACAATTTACCAACACATGGTGAGATGATTATTCCGGTGATCCATGTAAGGCTGAACCTTTCAATCTGTTGCAGGATAAAAGTGATGATGTGAAGATCGGGATTCGCTCTTCTGCCTTGCTCTGTGGTCAATATACAATCCCTGTGTGCTTTTCCACTGCAGTAGCATTCTTCGGACTGCTTAGCTACGGAGGGTACTTGAATGGCCACAGTTACCCATTCTTTGCTGGAGTTCTGTTAGCTGCAGGACTGTTATTGTCGAAACTTCTACGTACCGACATTGATCGACCCGCTGATTGCAGAGACTTTTTCCTGCAAACACCTTTGATTGGGCAAATCCTTGTCGGAGGCTTCGTAGCTGACGCCATCATTGGTCGAATTTCGAGTGGCATAGCTCTTTGAGCAGGTCATAACCTACCACAATTTCATTCTCGCTTGCAGTTTTCGAATTTTACAACATGCTAAAGTTTAATATATGCTCTATTTTCCTGATGTCCTCGCGCAAAATTTGGCGCTTCATCGTACTGGACAACCTGTAGCATTCCTTCTCTTCCCGTGTTGTTGGCTTTATTTTGTTGTATGTAGTGGCATGGGCCTCCGATGACTGTGAATTTCAGTAGTTATTTCAATCAGCATTGAGCAATGGAATAGTCAACTGTCACATTCAGTGTGTACATATACATATTGTAATTTGTATAAATTACCGTTAATTGACTGCATCGATAATCTTGATGCTCTACTTGGGTTGACGCTGGTTGGCGACGAGATTAAATCATTTTCCTTAGCGAATTGTTTCTACAAAGTGCCGAAGCCACTGCGAATATGATCATAGCTTCCAGAATAAATCTTGGTCCATGCCTGAGTGGCTGCCCAAAAGGTATTCCATAAAACTAGGAAGGTCATATGTGGACAGCGTAGTGGCCTGCCAAGCTGGCCTCGTCGGGGATAGATTCTCTTCTAGACTCGTTCATCTCACGCAAACCTAGCAGAAAACGCGCGATCATGATGGAAGACAACCTCAACACATAGAAAAAGATGTTTTTTCGCAAGTCAAGGTTTACATAGCAACAATGTGAACTCAGGTATGAGAGGGGGAACAGGAGCTCACACGAGAAAGTTGCTGAGGATAGGGCTGTAGAGTCCCTGAAATCACCAGAACGATATGAGCCGTGCCTTGGTTCGAAGGTAGTAAAAGACGATTTTATCCATCCCTGTGGAACCTGTGGGATGCAAAATCAGTATTGCCTGATATTCCTGGCTCACAAGGAGGACACCTACGAAATAAAGCACAACTGCAATGATTTGAGGTGTTGTGACGACCCTGCTCATACCAAAGTCTGAGATAATCCCGCGAGTGACAATGGGAAACCCGTACCCGAAATATAAAACGCCTAGTTGCATTCCGCTCGACAATCAGCGTGACAAACTTGAAAGGACGAACTAAATTGGCTTGCCTGATCTCAGAACATATTCAGAGAGATTTTGCCTGGCCACCTTGCGAAAACCACCACATCCGCGGATGGCTTGCATCATTCGGTTTGTCACCAATGCTGAAGCGAGCAAAAGGCAGCTTTCTGAAAGATTTGATACTATCATGCAACTCACATGTTGCCAAGATATCGAATGCAGCCAGGGAAATGTAGGTCATGACTCCAGCTGGGTATAGAAGTAGACATAATACGGGTCAGGATGACAGACTGATGGACGGAACGAAAATTTTTAATCAAGCATGCTCACAGCTATATATAAGGATGAGAAGCCCACAATAATGAGAACAGAAAGAACAATGTATGTACTCCCAGGGTTTTTGAAGATAGCGTGTTGTGAGTACAGGAGGATTGAACGCCTTGAGGCTACATTGTGAAATTCAAACGGGAAGGTGCAATGATCGGGCTCGGACATGGGTGAGTGCGATTGACCACGGCATAAACTCGAAGAATCCATGATACTTTGTTTGTTTCGCATCATGAGTATCCGGGGACTGTGGGAGGTACTTTGAGAGGCGAGCTTTACGCACCAGTGATCGCTATGCGTGTCGGGATGAATGAAAGGAACCAGGAGAATTGATAGAGTGCATCGCAACTGTCAGCCTCAGTCTCAGCTGTTCTGTTTGACAGGAATATAGCTCTGGATTTGACGTACTGCAAACAAGTTGATGAGGTTGAGTGCTTTTATAGCAAGGGAATGTCCATAGCCACTCGCCTGAGGTATATTTGGGGTATAGCAAACGCTCCATATCTGGTATGCCACGACTGGATAGCGATTTGTGAAGTGGATAACGTTTGACCATTTTATGGGAGTTAGATGAGGAGGGTACAATGATGACGAAAACGAAGAAGAGAAAAACGAAAAGAACTGAATCGAATACATCGAATTGTGAATACAGATTGCAATTGTGCTGCGAATAATGAATTGTGGAAAAAACTGGGAAACCAAGAAACCAACGGTTCCAGCCGGCCCGGAACGCTTAAATTTCCAAGCACTCTTTTTACTTTGTTTGCTAACCGCGACAATGGTCAATGCTTCGCATTTGGTGGGCATTTCCATTGAACTCATGACTTGATTAGGAAAATATCATCAACTTTCATGCTGAAAATCTCTCTAGCTCAAAACAGCTCAAAACCCCCGTTCTGGATATCCTCCACGTTGCTCAGCGTGACGCAAGTCGACGCAGGTGCCTCACGAACCAACGAGTACTTCCAAGTGGATGTTGAACGTTGACATGTAAGTCCGAAAATGTAGAACTAATGCGCGTTCTTTGTTCCTGTTCAATCATGATGTTTTGAAGCTTCCTATGCAAAACATATCTTAAGGTTATAATAAGCAGATGCTCGACGTCAAATGTACCCATTACGCACCGTTTACCAAACCGCGAGAGAATCCCCAAGCTGTCAGACTGTGCTTGATTACTAGGGACGAACCGAACTCCTTGTTTGTACCATCACTACGACTTTTGAAGAACTCTGCACCTTATCTCAATGACTACTCACAGATTACATCCTATCGCTGCTCGGGTCGGATGGCTCAGGCCGCTTACATAGAGGGATTGCATGCAAACTGCAATCCTTGGTATCGAAATGTGCGACTGCTGCCCTTTTGAGTGCACACTAGAACCTTCCTTATAAATTTAACGGCAATAGGCAGGGATCCCAGTCGGAAAGGAGGTAGGAAGTCGAAGGTTCGGGTCCGTTGACAAACATAATCTGACCTTTGTTATTTGGTTATCTACATAGGAATTTCGACGTTCGTCCAAAATACGTTATCCTGACCTTACAAATATATTCGCGCAGGTGTATAATTCTCCCATGTGGTAAGAGATCCCTCGAAGCTCTGGGACTTATTTAAAGAGCGAGAAATTCCAGAGCAGAGCTGGAATCATCCAGTTTTCTCTCTTTCAGATCCTCATGAGTTACTTCAACATTCACTTCGCAATCACTGCTCTTGTCTCGATCGCATTCTGGCGGTTCCTAGTACGCAGGAAATCTAAGAGACTATTGAGCAACATCTCCGGTCCACCCTCCCCTTCGTGGTTCAAAGGTACAGTGATAGATAGCACCAGATTATCCTTTGATCTGGTATTAACCCCTTTCCGCAGGCAACTATCAACAAGTCTTCAATCCTGATGCCTGGGGATTCCACGAGTTCCTTGCTGAAAAATGTAGGTTGGATTCATTGTACATAATTGAGACTATGGTCTGAATTTTCCAATAGATGGCAGCATGTCCCATCTTCACGGCCCTTACGGGGTAAGGAGTTGTTTACGACTTGAAGTAAGACTGTACTCAGGGATGTTCTAACTCAGACAAATACACTGTATACTTTTGATCCCAAAGCGATGCAAAGTGTGCTGGTTAAAGTACGAACATTTTGAGCTTCACACTCGACTTTGACTTCAATTGATTCAACTCTTGTCTAAAGGATCAGGATGTGTTCGAAGAGGAGGACGGTTTCATCAAGTCCGTTCTTCAAATCATCATGCTAACTCTCGAACTCATTGATTCTACATATGCAGAGGGAATCTTTTGATCTTCGGAGAGGGGCTGCTTGGTACATTGGGTATGTCATTGTCATTGGAGAGACTCTGCAGCTTCACTAATTCAATGAAACAAAGGACACCAACATCGCAAACAGAGGAAAATGCTGAATCCCGTCTTCTCCGCCGCTCATATGCGAGAAATGAGTATGAATGATTTTTCGCTCATTTGACGGATAAAATGACATCTTTACAAATAGTCCCGGTATTTTTTGAGGTCACCCACAAGGTAATTCATCTATGTTGTACATGAACAATGTCTTGCCCAACACCGCATTGAATACTTAGCTGGAAAGTGCGCTGAAAAACCGATTACAAGCTGGACCTTCCACCCAAGAGGTATGTGTGTAATTCAGATCCAAGGGATCAGAGTTATTGAATTCTCGCATGTTCATAGGTTGAAATTCTTTCCTGGATGGGACGTACTGCCTTGGAGTTGATAGGACAAGCAGGTTTAGGTTACTCATTTGATCCCCTGACAGATGAAGAATCTGCCCATCCATATAGTCAAGTTATCAAGGAGCTATTGTATGTCAAAATGCTGGAACATTCCCTCTATTTCTCTCATATCTTCGGGGATCTCTAGTCCTACCCTGATCCGTCTGCAGTTCTGGCAATTCAATGTCCTTCCCTATGTATCTTGGATTGGTACTGCAGGCTTTCGTCGCCGTATTGTCAAAATGTTGCCTTGGAAGGACCTACATCATGTGCAAGACATGATCGACTATATGTACGGTGTCTCAGAAGAAATATACAAGATGAAGATAAATGCTTTAAATGCGGGTGATGAGGCAGTGGCCTTGCAAATTGGAAGAGGAAACGATCTTATCAGTGTTCTCAGTGAGACCCTCTATTTTAGTGATATGTGTGGTATTATTTCTGAATTTTTCCAGTGAAGGAAAACATGAAAGCTTCTAAAGAAGATCGCCTGAGGGATGTTGAAGTTATCGATCAGGTAATTCCTAAATTTCCTGACTACCCCATTATCTGTGCTGATTATGATCCACCCTCATCAGATGAAGTATGAATTCGAAAAGTATTGCTTGCCAAAAAAAATGAAAGCCTAACTGTATATTTCTAGTACCTTGATCTTTGCCGCCATGGACACAACCTCGGTGAACCTAATTATGCACTAAATTCTCCAGTATGTATTGATTGTTCCTCTTAATCTAGAGCGGTATGGCTCGGATTCTTCATCTTCTTTCTCAACATCCTGAGGCGCAACAAAAGCTTCGTCAAGAGCTCATCGAGGCAAAACACCTGAAAGATGGACATGACTTTTCCTACGAGGACTTGACCACTTTGCCATATCTCGATGCGGTCTGTCGAGAGACGCTTCGTCTGTGAGTCTTCATGTACCTTTAGAATGTGTTCAATCTTTTGAATCTCGCATGATATCATTGACAAGATACACCCCCGTCACCACTGTTACTCGAAGGTGGGAGGACTTTATCTGGTTCATTCGAGGAATACACCATCTCAGTTTCAATAGGGCACGCCGAGATGCAATTATACCTCTTCTCAGACCTATTATCGGAATGGATGGTACTGAAGTACATGAGGTGGCTGCTCCAAATGACACTATAGTCGTCGTATCTATCTTCAACTCGAACAGAAATCCAGACTTGTGGGGTGAAGGTAAGGGCGTTTCATTAATAAGATATAGGTTTAAACTAATGTACATTAGATGCCGGCGAATGGAAGCCAGAAAGATGGCTTTCTCCGCTGCCAAAAGCCCTTCTCGAGGCGCGCATTCCAGGAGTCTATTCTCATTTGTAAGTTAGGATTCATGTGAATGAGATGTCTGCTCGCTGATTCTGCTACTTCTAATGTCTAGAATGACTTTCCTTGGTGGCGGACGCTCCTGCATGTACGTATCTCCGTCCATACCCTGAGAGCGTACTCAATGCATTTAATATTGATAGCGGATTCAAGTTCTCGCAGTTGGAAATGAGTGAGCTTTCTCCGATCGAAGAATTGCAACCGTTATAGTGGCTCATACTGTTTTACAGAAGTTGTCATATCCACCTTGGTGGAAAAGTTCCAGTTCTCCCCGTCGTCCAACGAGTCAGAAATATTCTGGCAGATGAACGGCGTAACGGCGCCCGTTATTGGGAAAGATAATCATCCGCAACTGCCCATCCGCATCAGTTTGGTAAACTAATATCGGAAACGGGATATGTAAAATGCTAGAATATGCTTGTACGACTAGTAGTAGGTCTGTGTGTGTTTCAACGTCTTCGCCGTCATGTGGATACATAGAGATTGTTGGTCCTTTCTTCAAACTTTTTCGCTTTACCCCCTTCGACCATTGCATACGAAAACGATGTTTGTTGCAAGATAGCTTGTAAAATTGCTTTCGCGAAGGCTTTTTGTTCACCATGACAACGATTAAGGACCAACCAAGTAGGGGCGTAGTAGCTCGTAGAGGATGAGCGCAATACTTGCGCTCGCTCGGCCTTCCCATATCATACATACCCCTCACCTCTTCGTACATTCCAGCCTGCGCCGGGATCAGATAAAATCACATTCAAACTTGCCGCTGCTTTAGAATTTTGCTGTAGCTAAGGCTGTACCTCAATCTGCGCTCGATCGCAGAGGTTCAAAGCATAGGCTATGCCAGATATTGGTTTCATTCCATTCATTTTACATTGTTACATTATCTGAGATTGTCGCAATTAGTACGCCCACTCAGAGTTGCTTTGGAGACCCTCCTCAGCCTGCTTCTTGGCTTGGTGCTTCGCTTTCTCCTTGTCAACAAAATCGAGCTGCACGAACACCGTTAGATTATGATCTTAAAACGGAGTATCATAGATAACGTACTCCTTTAGTCTCAACCATTCGGTCAACGAAGGCACCGGAGAAAGCAGCACTAAAAATATGTATTATTGAGCTGGGATCAATGATGAACGATGGGTGCACGCACAGGAGTTCCTTAGCCTTAGCATGGTTGTCGGGCTTCCCGTTCTCCGCGCAGTGCTTCTCGTATGCTTTGGCAGCCTGTAATCGACGATCGTTCTTGATCAGCAACATGCGCAGTTAAACGGGAGAACAGTGACAAACTTCGTAGGAAGCAGCGGCAGCAATCAATTCATGGGACAATTCCGCCTTGTGAGGGGCATTTACGACCTAGGACAGATCCAGCTTGTAACTTGGACGATGGAGAGTGAGTGAAAGGATAGATACCTGGTCGTAGGCTTGAGCCTCATCGGATTCGTGGTGGAAGAAACCCATTGATGATGTCTGTATGAGGTGGATGTAGTGGAAAAAGAAGAAAGGAGATGAAGAGATACCGACGTTACGATGGTCTTTTATACCCCAGAATTAGGGGCAGATCAGATAAGATCATATCACCAAGATCACCGCCGCAGCTGTGAGTTGATCATGTCCAACTAACGGAAACAAGAAACAGCCGCTTCATTTCGAGGTATGTACATAAATGTGGAAAGTCAGTCACTGTGACGCAGAGCTGTACAGATAGCGGTAGCTAAGTGCAACGATAGAAAGACGCGTTATTTTATAATTGCACGATATCCGGTACATATACATTCCCAGTGATTGCGCTTCCGAAAAGGAAATGGGCTCGTCGCCAGAGTTTATCGATTATCGAACACCAGATCAGCGCCCGGTATTTTTGGGTACATTATCATATGCGCTAATTCATCTGTACTGCCGCTTCCCCGTATGCGTGAATGGATTGCAGGTCCAGCCATCCCCAGACGACGCGCTCAGAGGATATGGACGGCGATAGCACGTTGTTTTTAGATCGAACTAAAACCGGAAGATGTCAATCATACGGCGTAAGCTCAATCAGCTCAATCACAACTCGTACTTTCGTACACTTCCTTCCGACGGCGAGTCTGTTCGGGGATTCTTTCACAACGATGACTGAAGCAAGAACTCAACGATGGGCAGCACTGTATATACAGTGAAATAAAGGCGGACCGGAGGGTTGAAACGCGAATTGCTTCGGAGACCAGGAGACGCGTGGAACGCACTGCCCGAGCCAGCGGCAGCGCTGGCATATCATGGGCCACAAGAACCTAGAAGGGGGTGTTGGTCTGGAATGGGTCCCCTGAATCATAGGAATGGGATGTGGGTGACAAAAGTGCTTGAGCAGTTTTTCGTCGATCCAGAGAAAGAGCTCAGATGATAGAGACAATGATCAAGTGACAGAAGCAAGTGTTGGAAATGCGACGTGCTTGTAGGGATCACTAAGGAAGGAAGTTCCAGATGGTCTTGTCAATCTTCAGCCTTACGGCAGACTTGTTTTTTGAGTACATATTTTTTTGCTTGTTATATTTTCCCTAGTTGCTGTCTTCACTCGTCAATCGAATATCATTGAAAGGTACACCCATAATGAAGAGCATATCCGCTCGGGGATCGTATTAAGTCCGATCCTCAGAGAAAATCTATGTTCTTCGACTGTTGAATCCGTTGTGTTTTACAGCTTCGTATGCGAACAGTGGAGGTTTAACCTGAGTAACCCTAACCCTGCCCAAGCACCCTCTGAGCGCGTTCCATGCGCACGGACCGCCGCCCTTAGCTTTCCCACCACCCGGGTTTAAGCAAAACAAAATCATTTGAGCCAGGTTTGAACTTAGTTATGGACCTCGAAGGTACGCAATCGTGCAGCCTATTTGATATAAACATTATCGTCAAGAATTTCAGGGGTTTCGAGCTATTTCCGACGCAATACGTCGTTTCTTCGCGGCTGCGTACTTGTGCGGTCAGCCGCTGTGACCTGTCGCCAATGACGAAGTCGAAACTATCTGCAAACAATGCAATGGATCCATATAAAATCATGGTTAGGAATCCTGAGAATCTAATATCATCCCAAAGAAATATCGTGATGTCCGCTAAGCTGTTAGACCCTTTGAAATCTCTCGTCGATATCATATCCACTCAGACTGCGGTCCTGCAGTCTGCATACTCCAAGAACAATACCGAGGCTCCTTCTCTGGACACTACATTTCAGCCTAGCTTATTAGAAATTGATCCCAGCGTCATAGCAGCCCGGCATCTCATAGTAGCAGCTGCTACACAACTAATCGCCACGATTCAGTCACCGGTCGAGTTTCTGCAAAGCCATGCGGGCAGGATCTATGATACAGTCACTCTTGGATTCGTGATCGATGTCAATATTCCCGAAATTTTGAAAGAGGCAGGAACACAGGTAGCGTTCAACAGCAGATGTTTCTTCCTTATCCTAATTTGTTATTTAACAAGGGCCTTCACGTCCGCCAAATTTCTTCCATCACAGGCGTGGAATCGTCATACCTCGGTGAGCATACTCAATGTCGTTATTCAAACTCAAATTAATCAGTAGAACGCTTTTTTCGGTGTGAATCATAGCTCGTGTTTTACGCTACTTGGCCACCCGCCACATCTTCAAGGAGGTATCACCCGATGTGTTCGCCCATAATCGTCCATCTTCAATGTTGACCAAGGCCAAATCCCTTAAGGCAATCGAAGAAGAGTTTGTCGATACATATATCTTTTTCCATCCTCATGTTACTCATCTTGTTTGTTCGTTCAGTCCCATCGGCCGATTTGACAATGCTGCCATTCCTGCTTTTCTACATATAGTGTAGGTCTATCCAAAAACCTCCCATTCTTTTGCAGTACCCATTTCTCCACCTCATTGGACAGGTCAGACGAACTTCTCAACTCCTCGGTTCCGTTCACATCTTTCGTCAAGAATCCTGGACAAGCTTCGGCTCCGTTCAACATTGCTTACAAGACATCCAAAAAGATGTGGGAGTGGATGGAGGAACCGGGAAACGAACTGTCTGAGCGTAAAATCACAGCGGCGATGAAGGACACCGGTGACGCAATGTACCCGCCGGAGATATTTACGTCTGGTACGTCGACTTAGCTGCAGTTTCCTTGAATCGCACTCATAAATTGTACCCTATGTAGGTATTGATGGTGACGCCCTGAAGATAAATGATGTCGTCGTCGATGTTGGTGGAGGCTCTGGCTTAGTAACTTTGGCCCTTAAGAAAGCCTATCCGAAGTTGCGCTACGTTATACAGGACCTTGAACCAACGATTGCGGCTGCAGGAAAGGTGAGACATTGTCTTCGTGAGCAAGTTCTATCTTCTTATCTTGGTATCTATACATTCAGGTCTGGGATGAAAAGGATCCGGAGGCAGTGAAAATAGGGCAGGTCCAGCTGCAAGGTGTGTAGTGCTTCATCGACCGTATTTCCATACGGCGTTGACGTTGTTAACTTTCCAGTACATAACTTTTTCACACCCCAGCCTATCAAGGATGCCGCCGTGTATTTCCTCCGCCTCATTATTCACGACTGGCCAGATGAAGATGCCAGGAAGATCCTCACCTGTCTTCGCTCCGCTGCCGGCTCTCACTCAAAATTGATCCTTTTCGAAATGCTAGCGAAACACGTCACTGAAGGTCTTGGTTCTGGCCCAAGTGCTCCGTATCCTCTGTTACCAAATTTCGGTGCCGTTGGAGCAGGCTTTTTCACGACTCTTGATATGGCAGTGAGTAGGGAAATTCGTATGATACGTACAAAGCCGGAGGAGCTGATGAATCTTGAACTTGGGTGTAGCTACTCACCATGTACAATGGCAAGGAGAGAACGTTGGAGGAGTACACACAACTGGGGAGGGAGAACGGATGGAAGTTGGAGGAAGTAAAGCCCGGGAAGCTGACTGCATTCGTGTTCACCCCAATTTAACTTTGCTACAAGGTTCCTACGATGAATATGTTCGTCCATGACATACGAATGAGATATGAGATTCCATTCTCGCGGAGGATCGATGAATTTTGGAGGATCCCTCAAGTTGCGCAGTCTCGGTTTCAACGATTCGTTTCCAATGCCAGTTGTCGTAAAATTTCCTCACCAGCGCTGTTGTTATAGTCGAGCATTCACTGAATCTTTTATCTTGAGTCTTTACTCTGGGCGACGCGAGAATTGGAAGTTCGATGAGGTCTGGGCGATGACTGAGAGTTCATACCGATACTCCAACGGATATTACATGGATGATTGCTAATGCCGAGAGACCAGCAACTGAGTCAGGTAGGACTCTTTACGCTTGGTCATCTTGTCAAGTTCATCCGCCTAATCTCTCCGCCGTGGCCTAGGATACCTTCCTTCGAACGAGGAACAACGAAGGGCTCTTTTGGTAGGGGGAAGGTACGCACAGTACTTTTCACCTTGCGAGCTCTTACGATGCCCTTCAACGGCGGCAGTTCTGGCTAAATTCATCAGCAAGATTCTATCATCCGATGTTCACGGAAGTTAATGACTGTTATTCAACTCGGCTACATACCTTTCTTCACAATCTGGTAAGCAATAGTCAGGCAAACGTTCACGAAACCCGAAGGACCCAAGCGGCCCTATAAAAACATGGTATAGTCATCATTTTCTCTCTGTTCTCTTACAGCAGCAATCACTGATTGTGGCATGTCTGGATTTAGCTCCCCTCTTTTACGCGTCCCTCGCGGTCATGCGTGTGTCCGTTGTCGACAGCGTAAACTGGTGAGTGTTATGAGTTATATTGTGTATTCAGTCTAGAATGAACTATCGATTCATATGATGGTAGAAATGTAGTGGAACGAGACCGACATGCACCGAGTGCGAACGCGCGAATGCCGAAGATGAATGTGAATACATTGGGAAGACTGAACGGTCCAAAACATCCATCCTACAAGACGAAATAGACCGTCTCCAAGCTCGTGTACGCGATCTAGAAAAAGCTGGCCCTATTCTCCTGCAGCAACCTTACAAGGAAACTTCACGTCCAAGTAATCATACTTCCGAATTGTCTGAGGATTTATCGAAACAGCTGTATGTCGAACAGTGATGAATCAAATTGTTTAAAACTTAATGTGATTCAGCATTGTAACGTTCATGGAAAACGCGAATGAGCTGTGCTTTTTCCTGAATTCTGCTAGATTCCGTGTGTGGATCGAGAATCCGGTGCAGCAACATCGTGCTCCTCCACCAGCCGCTCTAATGAGCGTTGTTCTTTTATGGGGAGTGCATCTCTCCCAAGATTCTACGCTGAGACAACTGGAAGAAGACCTATTCGCTCGTGTCTTGCGCGAAACTGCCGGTATATCTTCTGCACACCGTCCTGATAATTTTCTGTACAATCTACAAACCGAATTCCTTCTCGCTCGTTATCTCTTCTCGACAGGAAAGATAATAGAGGGGAGATATCACGTCTCATGTGCTCTTTCGATCGGAGTTGGAAGCGGGATCAATAAGATACGGTCCAACCAACCCCCGCCCCCCAGATATGCTGCGATATCATTATTACCACCGGTATCCGATATGATTGAAGAAGGTGAGCGGATTCGGTGCTGCTGGTCTGGCTTTATGCTGGATAAAAGTTGGGCTGCGGCGTTGGAAACGAGCTCGGATATGCTTTGTCCCGCAGAGATTTCTGGCGCTCAGACGGACACTCCTTGGCCTCAAGATGAAGAAGTATACGAGCAAGTGAGTTCTCTGATGATCATTGATGTAAAAGAAATTTTAACTTTCCGATTTATATAGGGAGGAAATCTCCTTCCAGAAGGGTATAGCTTCACCACATTAAATTTCATTAGGGGGACTCCAACTTCGGATCTTGGGGACTCCATCGAAGCAACATTGGTTAAAGCAGTTTTCTGCTGGGAACGTGCTTGTAATTTGACTAAGGATACTTGGACATTGTGTAAGCCTCCTCGCTCAATTTGTACTCTTGCTCAACCTCTTAAGGCAGCTTCGGAAGAGTACATTGAGTACCTCATCTCATACGACCAACGTCGACAATGTATAGCAAGATTCATCTCTACATTGACTTACTCGGAGGACATCGAGGGTCTCATTCCCTCGAAGGCCCTCAAACGACTCAAAGCACACAGTATGGCTCACGCTGCTAACATTGAAATCCTCAGGATACTTCCATCCTTCGAACAAAATGAAGACAACCAAACGCAAACTCGGTCTATGGTATCATCCGCAGAAGAAATTATGAAGCTACTTGCGTCGCCTTTACTTCGTCCTATCCAGTATATCGACTCGGTTATGGGGGTACGTTTTCGTCTAATTCGTCCATAGTGCCAACCTATCCTTTTGGTATCTTTATAGTCTGTGTGGAAGCTCGCTTATCAGGTCCTTGCTGAAGAAATCATAAGATTGAAGCTCGAAACTCTGCACTGGGAAATAATATCGGATCTACTAGAGACTATGAAAAATGCAGTGACGGTTATAGCGAGATTGTCAAAGACCTGTGTGTTTATGAGTATGTTCTTATACTCATCTCATGTCGTCAAGTGATAATATATTTCACCTCAGGATATCAGCTTCACGAAATTCAGAAAATCGTAGCGAGTGTACACTAAGCTTGGACAGGGAATAAACTTGAATAAAAACAACTTTTTGCGGACTCTGATTAAACAAACGTCACACCAGAACTACAGGTAGAATTGAATACTAAGGAAACCCAGCTTTGTCGAAGAAGACTCTCATATACCAGCATGAACACTCCTCGTGCGCGATCTGGACAGCTCTCACGTGAGCGCGTTTCGCAAATGGACCACTGAGTCCGCACTGCCATTGCCCTGCAGAGCGTATTGTGGTGAGCCGTCAAATTGATTCAAACATGATCCTTAAGGATCCTGATAAATGTGATTGAATAGCTTGGACTATCGTGGCGTCGAGGTCGACGTGGTGCACCTATGCAGCGAAATGTTTCAATTCGATGGTTGATAGGAATGATCTAGATGCAAGGATTATTGTTTTGTGCTGAAAGGAATATACATGGCAGAGACATCGCATATATCCCTCGGAAAGTCTCCCGTCCGTATCTCTTTTCACCCAAACACGGCTCAGATTGAAGTCTCCTGAGGATTCCAGCACCCCATTATCTCCAGCCCCTGCAGCCGATACGCCTGTCTTCCCGCTCACACCTGGCATCTTTCCTGCGCGTGATACGTCCGAGTTGTACCGTGTCACGGAACGTGCTCCCTGCAAAACACCTGGTTTACATGTGAGATTCGCGTCAACTCGATGTCATATGGTCTTTCGGAGATTGGGTCGCAGAGGGCAGGAGTGAGCGCTGAGCCGTATTTACGGCCATAGGGTATAGTCGGGAGGGACACATGGGCTGTGAGTTCCTGGATGTGGTCATTTGACCGGAGAGCCTTGTAAAGGTCTTCGTATTGTGGCGCCATAGAGCCCTCGGGTCTATAGATCTGACATAGGTCTTGGTGGTCCATGGCGTAAAGGTTGAATTGGCCGGTGTAAGAACAGTTAGCCTCCGTTAACGGTGTGATGCTCTTTCGTATGAAATTTTTGGGACGCGGTCTGACATTGCCAAAAAGGACCTTCTTTGCGACAAAATGGTTCAGAATGACGACCTCCCGGTGAGCACGCAAAAAGTTAGAGCAACAAACTCGCAAGCGTGAAACACTGAGCTGGTGGACACAGATAATCAGTGATTATCATCCTCACGAACCGCACGTGTTGACCACTACGTCTTTTTCTTCACGAGCTGCACGTTTTGACCACCGCACACATATATTTCCTTCGCTGTTCCATCATCGTCATCGCTCACCATGGGGCAGTACTGGACAATAATGAGCATCGACAACAGTGAAGCCACTGGGCACTTGGGAAAGCTGGGAGAGTTCTTCTGGATGCCAGATAACTCGCTTGTCAGCTGCCTGACGACTCCTGTGATTCCATCGTCTTACAAGACTGCTGCTATTGCTAGTTTTGGAGGGAAATCACAAAATCTCAAGTGCGTATTATATTGAGATTCCCTGATTGAGTTGACTGTACACTAGAAAGAATTATCCTCCATCGATCCTTTTGTCACTTCCGCATGAGCTCTTGCTTGTAATAGCCGAAGAACTCTCCGAGGATTATCTTGATCTCATTTGCTTTTCTGTTACATGCATAGACGCATGGGAGCTGACTGGACAATGCCGATACCAATCTCTGTCTCAAAAAATAAAGAGTAAAAGCTGGGCCGGTAGTCGTATAATCCTATTAGGAGATTACGCTGGTGCCTTGCCCAAGGGACTCCTTACCGATGCAGAAAAGAAGGAGCTCAGGCTTGACGGTTATGCAGATCATGAATTCGGGTCACTTCTCTATGCTCACCCAGCTTTTCGGATGCCGTCCTATAAAATCCTCAATGACTTTTATTATGACGAAATAGCTCAGGACGATGATCTTTTTCATGAACTCCAGTACTTTGCTCATCGCGAGCCATTCTCCCGATGGATCATGCTACCAGGAAATTTCAAACTCACCAGATCGTCCTCGAAAGATCGTTGGATGATTCGCAATCTCACCAAACAGGAGTATGCAATCACCAGACGGCGGAGCCTCACACAGATTGTCTACAGTCTCATAGGATGCTCCGATGACCCTTCCGTTTCTATGCAAGGTGAAAGGTGTAGCGTGCTTATCAATGGACCCTGGGCAGGAGATAGGATTGACATCACACTTGTCTCAATTCATAGGAAAGAGCACACACCTGAGGAACGATCCAGTTGGAAAGACATCACTATCAGCGTCAAGGAGTTGTTGGAGGCCTTGGCGGCAGAAGACAATGATGGTGTTTTCAAATTCTAGACACTTACTTGTATACAGCTTTTACCTGAAACTATCCTTTATCCTTTGGGAACATTGCTTCTCTTACTTGTATAATCTGGGAATCGTGGATGCACCAGATCAAGGTGGAGTGAAAGAGGTGAGAATGAGGTACTAAACAAAGTGATGAGGTTCAGAGCTTGCGTTCTGTCCTCAAGGCTCACGGCATGGATTAGGCTTAGCTCTCTATCAACGTGCGAATGAAATTTTTGGGCCGCGGTCCGACATTACCAACAAGGACCTTCTCTGCGACAAAATGCTTCAGAATGACGACCCTCCGGTTAGTACTCAAAAATTGAGAGCAACAAACTCGCATGAGTGAAACACTGAGCCAGACGATCAGTGATTATCATCTACACGAGCGGCACGTGTCGACCACTCTTTTCCTTCACGAGCTGCACGTGTTGACCACTGCGCACGTATATTTCCTTCTCTGCTCCATCATTGTAATCACTCACCATGGGGCAGTACTGGGCATTAATAAGCATCGACAAGAGGGAAGCCACTGGGCACTTGGGAAAGCTGGGAGAGTTCTTCTGGATGCCAGATGACCCGCTTGTCAGCTGCCTGACGACTCCTGTGATTCCATCATCTTACAAGACCGCTGCTATTGCTAGTTTTGGAGGGAAATCACAAAAGCTCAAGTGCGTATTGTATTGGGATTCCCTGATTAAGTTAACTGTGCATTAGAAAGAATTATCCTACGTCGATCCTTTTGTCACTTCCGCATGAACTCTTGCTTTTAATAGCCGAAGAACTCTCCGAGGATTATCTTGATCTCATATGCTTTTCTCTTACATGTATGGACGCATGGGAGTTGACGGGAAAATGCCGATACCAATCTCTGTCTCAAAAAATAAAGAGTAAAAGCTGGGCCGGTAGTCGTATAATCCTGTTAGGAGATTACGCTGGTGCCTTGCCCAAGGGACTCCTTACCGATGCAGAAAAGAAGGAGCTCAGGCTTGACGGTTATGCAGATCATAAATTAGGGTCACTTCTTTATGCTCACAGAGCTTTTCGGATGCCGTCCTTTAAAATCCTCAATGACTTTTATTATGACGAAATAGCTCGGGACAATTATCTTTTTCGTGAACTCCAGTACTTTGCTCATCGCGAGCCATTCTCCCGATGGATCATGCTACCAGGCGATTTCAAACCCACGAGCACATCGTCCTCGAAAGATCTTTGGATGGTCCGCAATCTCACCAAACAGGAGTATGCAATTCCCACCAGACCGCAGAGCCTCACACAGATTGTCTACAGTCTCATAGGATGCTCCGATGACCCTTCCGTTTCTATGCAAGGCGAAAGGTGTAGTGTGCTTATCGACGGACCCTGGGCAGGAGACAGGATTGACATCACACTTGTCTCGATGCATAGGCAAGAGCATGCACCTGAGGAAGAATCCAATTGGAAAGACGTCACTATCAGTGTTAAGGAGTTGTTGGAGGCATTGGCGGCAGAAGACGACGATTATAGTGTCGGCGATTTCAAATTCTAAAGTTTTGTGTACACAGCTTTGACCTGAAACTATCCCCTATCCTCTGGGAACATTGCTTTTCTTGTATAATCTGGAAATTGTGGGTTCATAAGATCAGGTTAGAGTGAATGATGGGCCGAGTGAAACTCAACAGTCTACTCAAAGGAAATTTTACTTATTCCGGAGAATTTAACATGTTCTGCCACCCGCCAAAATCCGAAAGATATCAATGTCCGTTGGTGTCTGTTTGTTCACCATTCAAGTGCTGGAGTTGCCACACCTGCCGATTGATGCTGTGTGTACCTTAAGCAGCTTCAACGCGTTCAACCCAACCCTCATAATCATTGTATTTTAAAACTTATACATTCAGTTATATGTTTTGTAGTGTCGGCATTGAAAAGCCCTCGCTTGCTTGATAATTCGTCTATTTGTAGTTGGAAGTCATCAGACATTGATTAGTATGCCATATGCATCCCGAAAATCCATCGTCACATCTTCATGAGTCCCCAGAGCCTCCTCTTTCATGGAAGTTAACATTGCAAGGATAAAGTCCAAAGGTACCGCATGCAGTGACAATCTACCACTATCATTTTCCAAATGCTCTGAGAGCAAATGCTATACTACATAGGATATACTGCATTGTACTTCTAGAAGGTTTGTTACTCTCCAGACAGAGGTATGCTTACCACTGACCCAGAGTATCGGACATTACTAGGGCGGAGGGTTACTTACTTGTATATAAGCTGTAGTTACTTGCTGTATTTCCTTAGCTTTGATCTTGTCAAGTCCATGCCTTGGTGCCCCGCCTCGCCACTTGGTATTCTGAGATCTGTCTTTTATTGTCATCTCTTCTTTATTGTTCTTTCTCGCTACACATACCCTTTCATTCTAGTCTCTCCTTATTGTCTTTTCTCTACCCTGCAGGTACTACACGTATAGCTCCTAGTAGTTAGTCTGGTGCTCTGCACCAATGCACCGATCCGTAGATATAAATACTGCCTGTACATTACTGTAGTCCTCAGTTTAATTATCATCTTAGATCAACTTAGATCTCCTCTTCAACTGAGCTCATCCTCCCTTGTCTATAAGTCTTCTGGCTCATCGCCTTGAAGTACTTCCCACTCTGACCTTAGGACTTATAAGTCCTTTGGTTCGCCCCCCATTGTCGGCATTACCGCCGCTCCGACCTGGCTGCTCCTAGTTCTCATCTCCTCTGTTCTTGATCTCCGGGGACTAACGGCGTAATGGCGGTGTTGTTAATAACTTCACCACTGTCCCATTCGACCCTCCGCACTTAGACACCTTGTATCCCTTGGCACGGTTATACGGTGTACATGATCTTAACAGATCTCATCTATTCTACCTGGTTTAGTGCAGAACTTTGCTTGTTTCCTTTGTCGCTCCGCCACCTAAGGTTTTCTTGAGTGTGACACCTGGTGACACCTGTTACTAGAACTGTCATGAAGTACGTAGCCCCTATCATTTTCCTTTTCTCACCATCTCTACGCCCTTATTTGTACAATACATCACTCCATCACTTTCATGTCCCACCACTGTCAAACCCTCATCGATTACTGAGCCACCTGACCCCCTTCATCAATTACTGATCCATCAGTTACCCTTCTCCTTTTACCGGCTTCCGCCACCTTCTTTACTCTCAAACTGTACAGTATTACGTCGTCAGTTCTCGCAGACCGGATTGTGTATATAAAGCCAACCCCCACTACCTGGTCCCTTATCTTGACCTCTCTGTCATTATATTGGGACCAGGTACGTGCTTACTTACCAGTACTTACAACTACGATACTAATATAACTCTGTCATTATCTTGGGACCAGCTTGGGACCAGTCCGCCTCTGCTCTGCTTAGTCGCTCCGCATTACCACTCTGCTCAGTCGCTCCGCACCGTTGCTCTGCTCAATCGCTCCGCCTCCCTGGTCTAGTCACCCTGCCGCTGTCGCTTTGTGACATTAGGTCAAGATCCATTACTGCACTGACAGCCTACTGATAAGGTTGTCCTTGCAGGACCCGTAGACACCACGTCTTCCCCAGTCCCGCCCAATTCTGAAACACCCGCTGCCAGTATAGACTGCTCCACACTCCCACATGCACTTGACCCCAGAGACCACGCTCACGCCCACAACAACGACGATAATTGGCGCAACTGCCAGTCTCAACCTTGCCCCAATGCCCTTCCCAACTCAATCCAAGAGCCACTTACTGTGAGCAATATAACCTTCCTGCCAATTCCCCAACCCCGATTGCCTACTCCTATCATGTCAACTCCTATCCCGCCTGCCACACCAGCCCCACCAGCCCCACCCGCCTCCGCAGAAGATCTCATGACTCTGCTCATTAAACAAGTAGCCAATCTTGCTACAGCCATGGAGGAACGCTCATCCTCCAAGTCCAGCATGAACAAACCCGAGGTATTCAAGGGTAAAGACAGCAATGAAGCACGACGTTTTAGAGTGCAGTTCCAGAACTGGGCATCAGAACAACCTGATCTTTCCAACAGTCAGGCAAAGCTTATCAAATCGGCTTTAGGCTTCTTCACAGAAGGTGCTGGAGACTGGGCGACTCCCCATTTGTTAAATTTCAATGCGGAGAATCCCCCTTTCGAAGGCGATTGGCAGAAGTTTCTCACAGAATTCAGCCAGTGATTTGAATCAATAGATCCAGGTATGGAAGCCCGTAATGCGATCCAATCCCTTAAACAGGGTAAAGGGCAGACAGTAGCGGAATTTGCTCAGAAGTTCCAGGACATTGGAAGTCGGACTGAGATATCTGATATTGACTTAAGGGAACATTTTTACTCTGCCCTACTTCCGGAGATACGACAGAATCTGATCACGGTAAACATTGGTCAGGGAGTTGCTCGGACTCTAAAGGAGGCCATCACACGAGCTGTATCAGTGGATGTCTACCTGCACGACCCCACCTTGACTGGTCGGAACCTTGGACCTACCCGCTCCCATGCTATCCCCGTTGACCCCCATGCCATGGATATTGATGCCACCCACACCAGTAATGGGAATACTAGGGAAGCATTCCTGGCCCACATGCGGGGACAATGTTTCAGCTGTGGTGCTCAAGGTCATGTCAAGCAAAACTGCCCACACCGAGAAACTACCTGCCGCTATTGTGGACGTCGAGGACATCTGGAAGCAGTCTGCCAAGACAAGTTCATGGGACTTGGATGAGACCGAGGCCGACGCCAGCAACCTCGGCGCCAGCAGATATCAGCTACGGGACCCGCACCATTCTCTCTGTTCCCAAATGAATCCGTCCAGATTGCCACCTCAACCCCAACACCCGTGCTGGCTACTGTACCTGCTACTCCGAGCCCCCCTAACCAGGATTTCTCCAACCAGATTGGTCAAATAAGGGAATTACTTGATCGTGCTAACACTATGTCCTCCTCGTCCTCTGGCTTTCAACAGGGTTTTTAAAGAGGGTACCCGCTTTGGCTGCACCGAGAGTACCCCGTAATCAGTTTACTATGTTTGCTACCTCTTCGTATGACTCGCTCCCATCATGTACAATATCATCGATCCGGGAATTAAATTCCAGCTCCCCACATTTTCGAATTCATGCGAGACTAAGAGGAAGGAACCATAGTATAACAACTGCAGCCATGGTAGACTGTGGAGCTACTGCCCTGTTTCTAAACCAAGACTTTGCCACCCGGAACCGTGTAAGATATGCACCCCTTCATAAACCAATTGACATTTTTAATATCAATGGAACACCTAACCGAGCCGGATGGATCACCCATTTTGCACGCCTAGCACTCACAGTGGATAATCAGGAGCAATGGATGGACTTCTTGATCACCAACTTAGGAGGTGAAGACCTTATTCTTGGACTTCCCTGGTTAAGGAAGGTAAATCCGGAGATTGATTGGGAGAAAGGACGACTTTCAGTGAAACCCCCTTGAGTAACTATAGAAGAAGTCCAAGACAAGGAGATTCCATACCCCCACCTAGCTGCTGCTAACACAGAGAGCCCCATCCCTGAACTCCCAAACCCAGAACCTCCCCGCTTGGAGGTGCCACTGGCAGTGACCCTTGAAGAGAGTGAACCAGCAATGGTGGAGGAATCTCCGATACACCGAATCCAAGGCAATCACAAAACCCGTCGGGCATGGGTTAAAGCAGGAATCCTAGAGGAACAGACTGAGGAAGTCTGGTGTGCAGCGGGATTCACTTATTTGCAGCAGCTAGCAGAGGAAGCCAACTGAGACAAACCTGTTAAAACCTTTGCAGAAATGGTCCCTGAGCAGTACCGTGAATTCAAGAAGGTCTTCTCAGAATCCGCCTCCGAACGATTACCTGCCCATCAACCCTGGGACCATACAATCGATCTCTTGCCTGGAGCACCGGCAACCATGCGCACCAAGATCTACCCCATGTCCCTAAATGAGCAGGAGGAGCTGGATCGCTTCCTGGAAGAAAATCTGCGGAAAGGCTACATTGTTCCCTCTAAATCACCCATCTCGTCCCCAGTCTTCTTTGTTAAGAAGAAGGATGGAAAACTACGTTTCGTACAGGACTACCGCAAACTGAACGAATACACTGTGAAGAACCGCTATCCCCTCCCCTTGGTTGCTGATATTATTAGTCAGCTTCAAGGGGCCCGATATTTCACCAAGTTTGACGTCCGCTGGGGTTGTAACAATGTCCGGATTAAGGAAGGTCACGAATGGAAAGGAACCTTTGCAGCCACCCGAGGGCTGTTCAAGCCTAAGGTTATGTTCTTTGGTCTCACTAACTCCCCTGCAACGTTTCAAGCACTTATGAATGCCATATTTGCAGACCTTATAGCAGCTGGAAAGGTAGCAGTTTACCTGGACGACATACTCATCTTTAGCAGTGACCTGCAGGAGCACCGACAAGTGGTACGGGAAGTACTAACCCGGCTGGAGAAGCATGACCTGTACCTACGACCGGAGAAGTGTGAATTTGAACAACAACAGATTGAATACCTAGGCCTTATTATATCGGAAGGGGAGGTGAGAA